GTAAAATAGAGACCAAAGTATTTGAAGTTTCCACTTTCATACTTCAAGTACTTCAAGAGTATTTAATATACTGAGTGAAGTACTTGAAGTAAAGTACTTGGCAAAATCAAGTACTAAACTCAAGTAAAGTTTGCTAGAATTATAAGAGTTTTATGGACTCCCAAAGTTAATTCGTTTTACAGCCCTGTTGTCAATTTTATTGTACAGCTGAAGAGCGGGGCGAACTCAAGTACAGAAAACATCGGCTTTCCCCTGACAGGCTCTTTACCTGTATACTATCCTCAAACATATTTGGCGTTTATGACTTCACACCAATTTGACTCCCATTATAATTCAATAGGCCGTCACAACCGGATGTCTTAAACCCGCTCATCGATACCTACCTGAAAAGACCTTTTCTGGTAAAAGCACAGGGCAGGACTGAGTTTTTCATTTACCGACAACTGCGCCTTTCGAGTTTTTTATTTTAAGTAAAAACAAAGTAACTTTGTACTCAATCATTTTTTATTACAGCACAACTATTTACTTATCAACTACTACTGCTTATTTATTGATCGAAATAGTCACTGTCATCATCACTCGACTCTTCTAAATTAACAATTAACGGTTTTATCAACTGTGCCCTGTACTGGTCTTTTCCTGAATTTATTCTTCAAGAAGGCACTATGCATTGTAGCTTCTGCTACAAACCGCATTTCTATTTACAAATATATGTTTTCGGATCATCGGCAAAATTTTTTGCTACAATATTTCGAAAAGTATTTAAAAATAAATTGCTACAAAAATACTAATTAACTGGCCTATTATTATTAATTTTTATTTATTTGTCACTATTTAGTGTAAGACAATAATTTTTAAAAATTTTATTTATCTATTTACAGGTTTATCAAGCTTAATTTTTTTAATAAAAAATACATAGATAAATAAAATTTTTAAAAATTATTGTCTTACACTAAATAGTGACAAATAAATAAAAATTAATAATAATAGGCCAGTTAATTAGTATTTTTGTAGCAATTTATTTTTAAATAAAGTCGCGATCTTTTCTATAGAACCACTCCCTAGTGTAAATTTTCAAAATTTGAAGTGACCTTGACGGGTTTCTGGGGGAAAACATATGTGTCAAAAATTTGACAGGTTAGATGGCCCCATTGTCAATGTAGATATTTTATTTTAATAAATAGATGAACAGAACATACAGTCTGCACGGGATACAGTGCGACATAGCTGAGGGCAACCGAAACATTCGTGTTGTGCAAAGTCATTTAATAGATATTCTCTATTAACTAACCTTGCGTGTTGTGCTAGTTTCGATTGCCATGTCAACTACCGCTACCAACCGCGTTCGGCGTAAAGTACTAGATGACAGGGCTACCAACTTGACTTTTTATCGAGTGGTTCCGTAGAAATGACCGCTACTGTACTTTTCGAAATATTGTAGCAAAAAATTTTGCCGATGATCCGAAAACATATATTTGTAAATAGAAATGCGGTTTGTAGCAGAAGCTACAAAGCATAGTGCCTTCTTGAAGAATAAATTCAGGAAAAGATCAGTACAGGGCACGGTTGATAAAACCGTTAATTGTTAATTTAGAAGAGTCGAGTGATGATGACAGTGACTATTTCGATCAATAAATAAGCAGTAGTAGTTAATAAGTAAATAGTTGTGTATGTCAAAATTCTAACTAATTTGCTGTAATAAAAAATTATTGAATACAAATTTACTTTGTTTTTACTTAAAATAAAAAAATCGAAAGGCCCAGTTGTCGGTAAATGCAAAACTCAGTCCTGCCCTGTGCTTTTACCAGAAAAGGTCTTTTCAGGTAGGTATCGGTGAGCGGGTTTAAGACATCCGGTTGTGAGGGCCTATTGAATTATAATGGGAGTCAAATTGGTGTGAAGTCATAAACGCCTTATATGTTTGAGGGAACTCTAAAAATAAAAAATAAGCCAATCTAAAATGTAAAGAAAAATTCTGGAAAGTATTGATGTGGCATTAGAGGAACAAAATTTTGTAGAATGGACGGAACAGCCTTACGAACCTATTTTATTTGTGATTTGTCAGTGTAAAGTTACATATATATACTTAGATAGACAAACACTGTAGTGATTAGTGTTTACTATTTAGTTAGTGTTTAGAATAGTAAATACGTAAGTGGCAGACAGATATATTCAGGAATATGCGAATATGGGGCATTCATTCCAAGAAAATTCTAAGCATTTTTGGTAAACGCAAAAGTAAAAAACGACTAATTACTTTGATCACCTTGATATTTTTCACTGAAGTGAAAATGGACTCTCGTTTTAGGCATTTTATTTTTTATTTCAAAAATTCATACGGTTTTTTGAAAATGCAACATGGTGTCTTAAACATTTTTATGTCACGAGCATGTATATATATCGCACTGCTCTTAAAATTTTGTTCTGAAAAATTTCTATTTCACAAATCCGGCCCTGTGCACTTTCACAATACGCAATGATTAAGGGTGCTGTAAACTATCCGCAAACTTAAACACGGAACCGGTTCATAAAATTCATATATTTTTAATACAACTTTATTAAAAAATCAGAACGTTTAGGTGGTGAACCAAAATTCAAATTCAGTGGTGAAACAAAAAAGTTATGTTAATCTGCAGTACCTATTTCAAATTATTAGATAGGTTACTTGAAGTATTTTCAGTATTTCAAGTATATCCAAGTACTTGAAGTAATGTACTTGGATTATACTCAAGTACATGAGGAAAGTATTTGAGATTTGAAGTACTTTTAGTAAAAGTAAGTACTTGATACTTTACTTGAACACTATTTCAAGAAGTACTTTGTACTTGGTACTTCAAGTACTTTTGTTGAGTACTTTGAACAGGTCTGACAATCGGACATATACTTTTGGTAAAAACTTGGGCGAAAGTTTATATGTTGTTTCCTATGCTGAAATATGCTTTAGCTCACCCTTAAAATGATGAAGAGCTTATGCATGTTATGGTCACCTGGTTTCTTAACAAATTCTGTACTAAACTCGTTTTAGATTTTAACTTCCTACTGGGTTAATCTTCTTTTTCTGGGGACCAACCATACACGGGTATAATAATCCCAGCAGGTCAGGTAAATGATTCGTAGAGAAAAACAAAACAATATTTTTGAGTATTTGGGTTAAAAGTAATTGTAAAAGTCAATAAATTACTCAAAAAAAGCATTTCGTTGCACTTCCTCATTACATTTTTTGAAAAGTAATGCATTAGAATTACTCATTACTTGAAAAGGAATTGAATTACAGTCATGATTTACTTGTAACGGAATTACTTCCAACCACTGGATTTATTAAACAACATTTTGAGACAAATAAACAGATACACTTTGATTAAAAATTTACCATGTATATGGTAACTTTGAAACGTCTGCAAGATTTCAAAGCTTTCGGGTTTTTAGATTCCAAATTAAATCGCAAAATATTGTTATATAATTTTAATTTTTTTCCAAAAATTTGTGCGTTTCAGGTAAAAACTCAACACAGATTCATAAACTACACGTGTAGAAATATGTTATTTGATATAATTTAAAACCCATTTGCTAGGTACAATTTTGACGTGACGTCATCACATTGTTGGTGGGGATGATTAGAAAGAGTTTCATTAGAGTTTTTCCATCTGCATGACATTCGTAATAAACATAAAATTTGACACAAATCGGTCCCGTAGTTCCGGAGTTATCTAATAAAAGTCGTCATGGCGGACAGACAGACAGGCAGATAGACGAAAACGGCGGATTCATTTTTTCGTACTCTAGGGGTCATGACCCATCGAGAAAATTAGCTTACGCTCAGGAAGGAAAAAACTATGCTAAATTTTGCTAAACGTAAAAGTTTTAAATTGAAATCACAACTAACCGGTTGTGAATAACAAATAGGGGGTAATCAAGAAGGTTGAACTAATCCTTGTTCCAGCCTCCTGATTTATTGGGTGACTATACTATGGAGAATGTGTGTAGTTGTTCCGGACAATACATAAAACTTACAACTCCATTTGGTAACTGTGTGTATGGTTGGTTGCCTACATGTGGCGCAACTAATAGGGTGCAAACCTGTGGTGCAAACCATAGAGCGAATACAAATTTTTTTTTAACACAAGGAAGCATTTACACAACTACAACTTTAAGGAACGTGATCAGGGGGTGATGTAGAAAAGTTTTGCGCAAACAGTTTGTGCGAAATCGTGAAGTGCCCTTAATAAAATTTCACCTTAATTTTTAATTAAGGGTTAATATTCTCATAAAAATTGCTTTAAATAAAACAATTAATTTAATTTAATTTAATTATATTGTGTAAGTGTAGTTATACATAATTAAGCAGTTTTTAAAAGTAGATTAAAATTTCGCGCGGTTATCGAACAGCCCAATGACCTCACAAGATGCGCGTGTTCATATATACCATATTTACTTAATTTAGGTATCATGATTGGGTTGAGCCCTTGAGCACACGTGGAATCGGCGCCTATGTACCAATTCGAATGCGTTGTCATTGTTGACAAACTGGTATCTTCATAGCTCCTCTGTCTTGTTGGTTACATAATCGTTTCTTACATATTTATTAGAATGTATCAACTATTATTTTTATTACAAATAGTTTAATTATAAATTTAGCTTCAGATTTTGTTCTGATTAGTGTTCTGAATTCCCCAAGCAATATGGATAATACTCGTTTTTATATCGATTATTACTTGTAAAAATGATGTTAAAAGAAAATCATGCTTGCAAAACATCTACTTTTGTGGTTACCGATCACTGGTTACTGTATCATTTTCAATGTAATTTAATTGTCTTCCTTGCTGTGGAATAAATAAGTATAAAGTTAATAAATTGCATTTAAATTACCTTGTACTTGTTTTCGTTTTTTTTTCTGTTTGTTAAACGCAAACAAATTACCTTAAATTTCTTTAAATTTTGCAATCACCTGATTGCCGCTCTCAGTTTAGCCAACTCCCGCAAAAATCGCGAAAGTTCCTACTTTCCCCTGGAAACTTTCAAGACAAAGTGACGTTTGTAAAATAGTGTAATGCATACGATTACAAGCATTTATGGTTTATTTATTACCAGGATAGTGTAACTTACCCATTTTCTCGTAAAATTTTACGTCTTTGATGTGCACAATCAGTGTTTATCCCGGCCAGGCTGTGGTTTTTACATAAATAATGAATTACCTCGGAGACAATGCAGGTTTGGGGCTCACGAGCGAACAAACCGAAAAAGTATTACAACTGCAGGATCTCACGGGTATCGAAGATATGACAATATGCAGAGACGTCCTGCAAAGGCATCAGTGGAATTTAGAGGTGGCCGTACAAGAACAACTGAATATCCGAGAAGGTAGACCCTCCATTTATGCCACGGAAAGTAGGCCTCCAGCTGTTATTAACGATTTGTTGGGACAACATATATATTATTCTATGCCGCGAGATGGGGGCGGTGGAGGTGTTCTGGGTTTCGCGAAAGCCTTGTTTAATTTCTTTTATAATATCTGCTATAGTACTATTTTGGCCTTATTTCAAATTGGCAGACGGATGATAAGATATGAACCTGAAAGGCGTAAGGGAAAAATTGTGGGGATTTGTTTTGGTGTTAATAAAGGATTGTTTTAGCCACTGACCCCTTAGATGATGTGCTTGGTTTTATTAGATTATATCAAGAGAAATATACAGATAACCATCCAGTTTTTTATCAAGGGACTTTCTCACAAGCTCTTAATGACGCTAAAAGGGAATTACGATTTCTTTTGGTGTATTTGCATAAAGAAGACCATAATGATGCAGAACTGTTTTGCAGGTATTTATATTTTATTTTTCTTTGTAATGGGTATGAATCGTTGAAAAATGAGTACTGGGTGTAAAATTTTTGTGATGTGATAAAATTAGAATGTGGTATAAATATGTTGCTGTATGCTGTATCTGTGCAAAATGCATGATTGCTCAAGGTGACATACTTTTTTCATGATAAAATATGTTTTTTTTAATGTTGTTTAGAGCACGGTTTTTAAAAAGTAAACTAAATATTTGAATCTGTGGATCTGATTGATTATATTTCATCACATGATCAGTTATAATATTTTTCTAATTTGTCTATTATAAACTGGCACTTCATTTTTTTATAGAAATTATTTAACAATGTCTGAAAAACGGAATGGTTTTGATAGTTCACCATTACTGCTTTTATGAGTGCTCTAGAATTTCTAATTGTACAAAAAGTAGAATTGCCAACTCATCTCTTTTACTTCCCGAGCGTAAGCAAAGGAAGTATTGTAATCGAGTCCGTCGACCGACTCTCTACTTTTACGTTTTCTCGATCTTTCATGACCCCTAGAAGACGAAGAAATAGGTCTCCCATTTCCGTCTGTCTGTCCGTCTGTCCGTCCGTCTGTCCGTCTGTCCGTCCGTCTGTCCGTCTGTCCGTCCGTCTGTCCGTCTGTCCGTCCGTCTGTCCGTCTGTCCGTCCGTCTGTCCGTCTGTCCGTCTGTCCGTCTGTTGTCCCGGATTTTTATTAGACAGATAATCTCCGAAAGTACTCGACCGATTGTTGTGAAATTTTGTACTTATATTAAGAATATCATGTAGATGGTAAAACGCTAACCAAAATTTGTCGAATCATCCCCACCACTAAAGCGATGACGTCACTTCAAAATTGTACATAGTAAATGGGTTTTCAATTGTATAAAATAACATAGTCCTACACATGTAGTTTACAACTCTGAATCGACTTTTTACCCGAAACGTCCAGATTTTTGGAAAAAAAATCAAAATTATAAAACAACATTTTGAAATTTAATTTTTAATCTGCTAACCAGAATGCTTTGAAATGTTGCAGATGTTTTAAGGCTATAAAGAGCATCTTAAATCTTTAGTCAAAAAATATTTGCTTATCCCCTCCAAAAACTTGATGACGTCAGCTCAAAAGTTTGTGGAATAAATCATATCTAAAATGTACAAAATATGATGAGTCTGTACTTGTGATCTATCACTCCATTCATATTTTTTGGATTTGCATATACAGGGTGACTCAAAAAAATTAATGAATGCGTAAATATATTTTATTGATTTAATCAGGAACTACAAAACCGAATGCTCTGAAATCTTGCAGATGTTTTAAGGTCATAAAGAGCATAATAAATGTTTAGTCAAAATATATTTGCTTATCCCCTCCAAAAACTTGATGACGTCAGCTCGAAAGTTTGCCGAATAAATCATATCTAAAATGTACAAAATATGATGAGCCTGTACTTGTCATTTATCACTCCATTCATATTTTTTGGATTTGCATATACAGAGTGACTCAAAAAAATTAATGAATGCGTAAATTTATTTTATTGATTTAATCAGGAACTACAAAACCGAATGCTTTGAAATCTTGCAGATGTTTTAAGGTTATAAAGAGCATAATAAATTTTTAGTCAAAATATATTTGGTTATCTTCTACAAAAAACTGATGACGTCAGCTCAAAAGTTTTCCGAATAAATCGTATCTAAAATGTACAAAATATGATGAGTCTGTACTTGTGATTTATCATTCCATTCATATTTTTGGATTTGCATATGCAGGGTGACTCAAAAAAATTAATGAAGGCGTGAATTTATTTTATCGATTTAATCAGGAATTAGAAAACCGAATGCTTTGAAATCTTGGGAATATTTTAAAGTTATTATAAGCATGGTAAACTTTTGTTCAAAATGTATTTGTTCATCCCTCCTAAAAAAATTGATGACGTCACCCTTAAATTTTGCTGAATAAATCCTATCTAAAATGCAAAAAATATGATGAGTTTGTACTTGTGATTTATCATTCCATTCATATTTTTTAGATTTTCTTAAGAGGTGGTTCAAAAGAATTAATGAAGTCAATTTATTTTATTGATTAAATTAAAGGCAACACTTATTATTAGTATTACACCCCAACCAACCCAATTTGGTAGACACAAAATTTGTTAAAGGAAAAACTCGGTTGAAACATAAGGGTAGCACGCTTATTTACATCGACTTTAACATTACAGACCTGCATTTGTTTTATGCGTTCACTTGATTCCGCGAATGTGAAATAGACATGTTTATAATCAACCAATTGTGAATTTCACCGTCAAGAATTAAAATAAAACCCAATGTTTTATATAATAAGCGGAAGTCGAAGCAATAAAACCGACGGTCGTTTTGTTTACAGTTTCTGTGTTTGGCTCTCACGTATGCTGTTACGCCTGTCATCTTAAATTAACAATGTTTATACATACACGATTTTCAGTTGCCTCTGATACGTAGGTATACGTGAGTAAATTGTTTCGTTATTTTATTGATTATTTATTACAAATCAATATTCAAACGACCCAATTCATTTTCCCGAAAATTTGAGAATATAATAATTTTATTCTTAGTATTACACTACATCTATCCCAACTGATATACGTGTCCTTGCAAAAATGTTGATGACGTCATCGCAATTTTTTTTTTAAATTCCCACTACAAAAATGTAATGAGAAAAAAAACACAATAGGCATGCAGTCGTCAAGTTTCCGACAGCGAGGGAAGTACTGTCTAAACTCCTTAGACCAATTTTTTAATGGTTAGGTCTGCATAAACTGTTGAACCTTTTTGGGTCTGATTTTTAGTTACAGGAACATTATTAGCTTCAGAAGTGACAAAATTGCCTGGTAGCAATGCCAGAAGTTCATTCTTGCATCAGAAAAACACAGGTTTCACATCCCAAGTCATGTTAAATGGAAAATCATTTCTTTGTGCACAGTTTAAAACATAATTAAAATTTTCTTCAAGTTTTCCGAATTTTGTATGTTTTTGCAGGCAAAGAAAAGCTGCTTTTTCTTATAGATAGATACTCGATGTTATTTTCCTAACATGAATAGTGTTTAAAAAAAATGAGTGTAGATACACTGAGAAAAATTGATTGATTTCAGTCAAAACTTCTTTATCATAGTGAGGAATAGGATTTACTATTAGAATTCTCTACAAAAACCTAGATGAATAAACTCTCCAACTTTTGTTGAATATAACTCTAGGTCCAAATAAAAAAAATGTTTTTATTATTGTTTTATTACTGGTTAGTGCCGCTATTTTTTTTCCTCACTGTTGCCATTTTGAAAACCGTAAAAATAGAAAACAGATATAAAACATTTTATTATTTATTTTTATATTGAGCATATTTAATAAACTAAGGAGTAGTCACGAAGTTAGTTAGATCTGGGTGCACTTGAAGAGTTTGAAGTATGAATTAACACAAATTAAATCGCAAATATTTACTGGGTATTATCGATTTTCGTGAATCAACATCTTGGCCAATAACTCGCATGCTCTTCTAGAAATTAACAGGTACAGAAAATAAGATATTTTCAGGCTTGCATGTGTGCGAATGTTCCATTCAAATGATAAACTGATCTGGACGACATTTCTCATAATTAGATATAAAATTAAGAGCTCTAGCACAATGCGTTTGAAATTTTACAACCATATATGTATTAAAATTATGGCTAATAATCGTGGAGTTTGTTGCAAACGTCAAGTATATCAACAAACTATGATTGCAGACAGCGTGGCGACGTAATAAAGGAAAGATATGGCGTCTGCTTTACTTTAAAACTTTTATGAGTAACCTAAATGATGTAAAACAAATTATTTACGTGTCAGCATTATAAATTTTGTAAAAACGGTCGTTTTCGCCGTCGGTTTTTGTTGACTTCACGTGAATTTCGAAATTTGTTCTATTGGTGTTGCCGCTTTGCATAGTGTTGTTGCCAGATGGTGACGTTTTCATGACCTCATTAATTTAAAAAAGTTAATTTAACATTTACATGACCAGTAGGAGAAATTTTAATATCACATGTTATGAAATGTCGAGATGTAAAAAAGTGCTCCCAAAAAATTGATTATACTTTTTCATCTGAAATATATAGTTGCTAATTCGTATCATTCGGTGAATACCAAAAGAATTCAAGTAAATTCCAAACCTTTCTAATAATAATCCAATACATTTTTCAAGTAATTATGCCGGTGATCTTCGATTGTATTTCCTTCTTTGTATTCATTGTTTTAAAATAGAATTTTTAAATGAATTGGATGGTCAATCACACAGTATTGTATTGTTGTAGATGTTTTAAAATTATGTTGTATGCCAGTTTATACAATTTTGTGTCGTTCTAAAGAATTCATAAGAAACATTCAATACCAGAACATTCCTGTGATGTTTTGATGAGATGATGATAATTTCGTAAAATTGTAACCCACTTTGTACTAAAAAATATACCAATAATACGCATCTAGTAAATCATAAAACTTTTTACAGAAAGTAGTAAATAGAAGAAATGAAAATACTCTGAATAAATTTAAAATTTAATTTTATTGTAATGGGGTCCCTTTGACAATTTTTTAGATTTTCGTATTAGATAATACGAAAACAAATATATACCATTTGCAGCGTCAAAGTATATGGTTGTTTAAAAAAATTGGGCTATTTAGAAATTTTGGTAAAAATGATAAGCTTTACGAGGACATTTTATTTTTGAAGTTTCAATACCAAGTTACTCCAATTTTCTTCAGATTTTTTGACAATGCATAAGGTGGACAAAAAATCGAAATGTGTGTTGCCATATTTTGTGAAAATATAGATAAAGGTGTCTTTTACTTCCCAAGGGTAAGCTAAAGAAGTACTGTAAGAGGATCCAGACGACAAATGATTACTTTCGTTTTTTCGACTTTTCATGACCCCGAGAGTACGAAAAAGTTGGACTCCCGTTTCCGTCTGTATGTATTTGGTCTGTGTCTACGTTTATTAGACAATAGTCTCCTAAATTATTGGACCGATTGCTGATACATATATGTAGTTTAGGGATATCGTGTAAATGGTAAACCGCTAACCAAAATATTCTCACCAACAATGTGACGACATTTGTCAAAATTGTATACATTAAATATTTTTTATTCCTAGAATAATCTACTCCTATATTTGTAGTTTATGAATCCGCATTGAGTTTTAATCACGATCACTGTACAAAAATGCCAGATATGATTAAGTTGAGTTCTCCGCCTAGGTCGAACGCGGTAGTTCGAATCTCGCCCTCGTTGATATTTTTTTTCTCTCATGCATTGAATTTCTTTGAATGTTTGACTTCAGATTCGAGGGAAATTCTGTCTAAATAACTTTAGGTCAATTTTTTGTTAATTATTTTCTATGCTTAAAGTTGGTAGTTTCTGTATTTTTTTTTTTATTTATTTTTGGAGAAAAAGGACAAAAAACAGTAAAATGCCATGACAAAATACATGATCTTTTATTTGATAAAATAGATGAATATTTGAACACTATAATGTTTTAGACTCTTTTTATCAGCTCTCGGTATACAAGACTTAATTTTACTTGTACCACAACAAAGCAGACACCTCTATCTTTGTTGTTGCAAAATTTCAAGAAAATTGGAATAACTTGGCAACGTCGCATACGAATTTCAAAAATAAAGTATTGCAGTAAGAAATGGTCTCAGAACACTTTGTGTGGTAGAAATTAATTTTATGTTTTGCTGCTCAAAGAACTCTACATTTTTTATCTAAATAATTTAATAATTAACTCACCTGTATATAACTGAGAAATGGTATCTAGATTTTAGATTCTGAAGAATACGATGGTGCGATTACACATGAATTAAATTAAAAAGAATTGGTCTAAAGTTATGTAGATAGAACTTCCCTCGCCCCTGAGTTCAGTTGAAAAAATAGAGATTGTTCTAAATCAATAAAATAAAATTTTAGACATTTTTTTGATAACCTCTATAAATTAAAATAAATATATGTGTGGACTGTTAAATTACAGGTAAAGAAGCATGTTATGTATAGTTTCAAGTGAATTTTCTCGCTAAAATTTTGTGTTGACGTAATGAACATTTTAGCAAGGACACGTATATTAATTGAATAGATGCAGTGCAATACTGTATCTTCAAATTTTGAGAAAAATGGGGCGAGTCGTTTTTGATTTGATCAATTAGATAAATTTCCCCATTCATTAATTTTTTGAGCCATCCTGTATAAGTTCATAATTTAAAAAAATATGAATGCATTAGAAAACCACAAGTACAAATTCAAAATATTTTGCATATTTTATATTCGGCAAAATTTTGAGGAGTTAAACGGATAAATTTCGATTAACGATTTACTATCTTTACGATAACCTTAAAACTTTTGCAAGATTTCGGTTTTGCAGTTTCAAAATTAAATTACAAAATGTTGAAATGATGTTATACAATTTTGATTTTTTTCTCAAAAATCTGGATGTTTACGGTAAATACACAACACGGATTCATAAAACACAAGTACAGTAGTATCTTATTTTATAAAATTTAAATAAGATTTACTATTGTAAATTGTGGAGATGACGTCATCCCGTTGTTGGTGGGGATGACTAGCTAAATTTTGATTAGCGTTTTACCAATTACAAGGTATTTCTAATATTATCTCTTTAATAAAATGGACACCGACAGACAGACGACCGACTACACGATAACTAAATCGGGGGACCTATTTTTTCTTATTCTAGGGTCATAAAACGTCGAGAAAACCTAAAAGTAGCCAGTCGCCAGATGTATTCTGTTACAATACTTACCTTGCTTTATCAAATCCGATGATGAATTTGCCAAATTAATTTTTATGTCGTAGAACTCAATCATTACATCACTGTTAACAATCTTAATTTAATAAATAAATTTAAAGAAAACGTTCAGAAAATTTTGGAAACACTGGATAATTAAATAATATAGTAAAAAAAATTACATTGGGAAAGCAACGGTGGATTTAACCTGTTGGCTCTATTTTTGTATAATAGTCAACTTGTCTTCAAACTTAGCTTTTGGCTCTTGCCAATATCTGAACTAAGTCTGTTCATATTTTAAAGATTCATCACATGTTCAACACGTTGGTATTAATCTAACATTGCTATTGACTGACAGTGACATCAGCTATTGTTAGCACAATAAAAACGTGATTAAAATGTATACAATTATGAAAACATAAGAAAGAAAAAAGAAGTGTCTTCCGTATACTAGTTTATATACAGTTGCCTGCCAGCTTGATTCTGTTACGTTGTCTCGTGTATTGTCAAACTAAATTGGGATGTTAGAATTTTAAAATGTGAATTGAATTTAATGAAGGGTTTATCTCATGGGAAATTAAATTTGAAACACTCAATTTATTTTCGAACGTAACTCTGACACAACGTACCACGCAATCACATGACGGTTAGCCCCACGTTTCCTATTTATCTCCAGATTACTGTTGTCTCATTGAAACATTTTTCGACAGGGAGACACTATCGCATCCAGAAATCATCCAGTACATCAACGCCCGTTTCATTTTTTGGGCATGCAGCCAGACGACCCACGAAGGCAGACGCGCCCAGAGCACGATTAAAGCCGGTTCCGCTCCATTTTTGGGAGTTCTAGTTTTACGAGATAATAGTATGACCGTGGTCGGTCGAATGGAGGGCTACTGTGATCCAACGCTCCTCCTCCAACGACTCAATACCGTGGTTAGCGATTTTGAAATAAGTCTCGTTCAGACGAGAGCGGACAGGTACGAGGCCAGCTTGAACCGGTCACTTCGAGCACACCAAGACGAAGCATTTTTGGAAAGTCTGAGAGCGGACCAAGAGAAAGAGCGTCGTAAGGAAGAAGAACGTCTAGCTAGGGAGGCCGAGTTAAGGCGGGAAGAGGAGGAAGCAAGGGCCGAAGAGGAGCGTCGGCAGAGCATCGCTAGGGAAAAAATCGAGTCGGTAGACAAAGTACCGGACGAACCCGATTCCCAGCATCCGGACGCTGTTCATGTAGTTTTCAAATTACCATGCGGAAGTCGCATCGAGCGTCGATTCCTAAAGACACATTCCTTGGAGGTAGGTTAAAGTTCCTTCTGAGTTTTTTGTACGTTTATTTACAAGATTTTAAGCAAGGGATTATTTATTGCCCATTATGTACAAGCGATAAAGTACATTTTTTATGACTTGATTACACTTTGAAACTGAAGTGAGTACCCTGGATTATAGTTACTCTTGTGGCAAAGTTTTGAATTTTTAAGGTTTATTATTGACAGTTTCCTTTAGGCTGAACTGGTTTGCAAGATTGTTTAAGATTGTTTTAATTTATAACCAATTTGTGATTATGAAATGTATTTGTGTTTAATGTCTATTAACCAATGTTGGTAAATATTTATCATTTGTTGCGAAAAAAGAGACCAGTGGCGTACACCTAAATTTTCTGAATTTAGAAAATGCATTTTCATATTTGTTGAAAGAATTCAGACAAAGTTGTGTTTCCAAAGCGTTAAAATTTTATACTAAAAAAAAAAATTGGTTTAAAGTTATTTCTGTAGAACTTCCCTCGTCTGAAGCACAATCAAACAAGTCCTGTCTTAAATAAACTGTTATAAAAGTCTAATTTTATTTTATTTTTTTGTGGTATATTTGAATAAATTGGATAAAGGATTTTTTATTTAGTCAATAATGAATACCTCCATTAATTTTTTCTGAATATCTTTTCAAACTATTCTAAAAAAATTAAAATGTATTACCAAAGCCCAGACAACGTTACACCTGAAGCACATTTGTCAATAAACATTTATTTCTCTAGAGGTGACGAATCAATAAATTTTAACTGATTTCCTAGATTCTAAAATTTGATTGTACATTTTACATGCACATTTTAAATCGGTTGACTTGGCAAAATTTTCAGATGACATCATAAACTCTTTGGTGTATATGATTAGATGTCCTTTGATAATAGTTTTACTATCGTCATATTTTAAATTTTTAATACGTTTGAATTATCATATTAATCCGGTAGTTTCACAGAATATATCAATCAAATAACAACGCTCACAGACGACAAACATACAGAAACGGGAGACCTACTGCTTTATATTGTAGGAGCCATCACACGTTAAAAAAACATTCGTCAAGTTATTACAGATCATCGAATAATATTTATTTATTCTTCCAGAGAGTTGATAACGTCATCTCAAAAACTTATTAAATATATAGTATTAAAAAATATGCTTTGATATGTATTGGTGTTTGTGGTTTATTTTTATTTTTCAAAATTGCCTATCATATGTCCCGAAAAAAAATACAATAAAAGATATGATTGGTTAAATTAAAAAGATTTCTCTTATGTTCTTCAAATTCCAGGATCACAGTAATGTCATCGCTGTGGTACAGTGTGTGTAAAAAAGTATGCGTTTATTTTTGCTAAAAAAATTCTAGAAATTGTATTGAGAAAATACCACCTGAAGCAAGCAGTTTAACTTAGTAGCTGTTTAATATATATATTTTTACTTCCCGAGCGTAAGTGACGGAAGTATTGTAATCGAGTCCGTCGGCCGACTCTCTACTTTTACGTCCCGGATTTTAGTAGACGGATCCGAAAGTACAGAGCCGATTGTTGTCAAATTTTGTATTTATATTAGGAATATCATGTAGATGGTAAAACGCCAACCAAAATTTGTGTAATCATCGCCACCAATAATGTGATGACGTCACTTCAAAATAATGGGTTTTAAATTGTATAAAATAGCATAGTCCTATACATGTAGTTTATGACTCCGTGTTGAGTTTTTACCCAAACGTCCAAATTTTTTGAAAAAAGTTATAATTATAAACCAACATTTTGCAATTTAATTTTGAATCAGCCAAACTGAATGATTTTGCAATCTTGCAGATGTTTTAAATTTATGGTTAATTTATGATACATCCATTAATTTTTTTGAGTCATCTGTATAAGCAAATCTAAAAAATATGAATGCAATAACTCACAAGTAAAAATTCATAATATTTTACACATTTCGGGTAGATTTAGGAATTTAACACCTTTAAATTACAAAAGTTTTTACAAGTTTAATAGGGACAAAATCTTGGCAAGTACTAGGCCCGCCCACCCGCCTCCTATTTTCTCAGAGGATATGTCATTTGCCAAAATAAGTTTTACCTTAGCAAGTACTAGCCCCGCACACCCGTCCTCTATTTTCTCAAAGGGTATGGCATTTTCCAAAATCAGTCTTATCTCCGCAAGTACTAGCCCCGCCCACCCGCCCCTACTTTCTCAGAAGATGCCATTTGTCAAAATCAGTCTTATCTGAGCAAGTACTAGCCCCGCCCACCCACCCCTATTTTCTTAGAAGATATGTCATTTGCCAAAATAAGACTTACCTTAGCAAGTACTAAGAGAGAGAAACTAAAGGGCGGGTGGGCGGGGGTAGTACTTGCTAAGATAAGACTTATTTCGGCAAATGACATCCTCCCAGAAAATAGACGGCGGGTGGGCGGGCCTAGTACTTGCTAAGACAAAACTGATTTTACAAAGATGTTAAATTGCAAATTTACATAGTAACGAGTTAAATTCCTAATGTGCAAAATATGATGAGTTTTTACTTTTGAGTTATCATTGCATTCATATTTTCTAGATTTGCTTATACAGGTGACTAAAAAAAATTAATGAATGTATCAATTTATTTTATTGATTAAATCAGAAACGGCTCACTTCATTTTCCCAGAAAATTTTGGGAATACAATACTGTTATTTTTAATGATATACGGTCCTTGCAAAAATGTTGATGACGTCATCACAAAATTCTGTAAAGTAAAAACTCAGCTCAAAGATGCTCGATATGTTTCACTGTACGTTAGGTGCGAGGGAAGTTCTGTCGAAACAGCTTTCGACCAATTTTTTTTATTATAAAATAGTATATCCGTTATTTTGAAAACGGCGAAATATACTTCAGAACGCATACAATTTCACAAAAATAAGATCTATAGTTAAAATTTGATGATTTCCTTGGTGTTTTCGGGCCCAGAGGATCTCGGAAACGCCAGAAAACTCAAAAAAATGCTTGAAAAGTAACAATTCGAATATGTAATTTGTAATCGATATTTGCCAAAAGTTGTCAGTGTAATATTAAATTTTTACCTAATTTTGAAATAGTATTGTTACATCAAAACAAATCAGATAGGTGAGAATTTAGGGTCACATCACTAAATCCGGAAATTTAAAAACATGTAATCTACGATTTTGACTTTAACAAAATTCACGGTTCTGCTTTTAAAAATTTATTAAACTTATATTAGGAGTTCATACTTAATGTCAGACTACAAAGTCATAGTCATGTAGTTGAAACGTTCGAAAGTATTTTAAGTCATCAGCAAACAATATCATAATAACATCTAATAACTTAATCTAAATTTACGCATCAAAAACGTTGCTAGTGTCAATGTATGCACAAGCCATTTCTTCAAGATATAATAAATGAAGAAAGTAAACAAAAAGACACGAACGAAAAACTAGAAACGCACTTTAAGATAAAATGCAGGTCCAGGGAAGTCGTCTTTGTTTACACTAATAAGTATTCAATTTGAAGATAGAGTTAAAATGACGACTGAATTTACTGGTTGCTTGATATGAATTTTAAGTGTTTTGATGTGCTATTTTTAAATATATTGTAGTGAATAAATTAAAATTGTTCCAGGCCGTCTTTTACTTCGTGTTTTGCCATCCCAACTCTCCGGATTCGTTTGAAATAACTACAAACTTTCCCAAGAGAGTACTGAAGTGTAAACCAGAAATTCCATACGAACGAGTGCTGACTCTAGAAGAAGCAGGACTTAAGAATAGAGAAGTACTGTTTGTTAATGATTTGGACGCCTAGTATTTATATTAATAAATTTATTTATGTTGAAAAATCAACTCATCACTTCTAATCATAAGAAAAGTCTTTTCTACTATTATTTAATTACTGTTTAATAAGTGTTGTTTTTTTCCTAATTAGTGAGTTAAACGTTGTTATTGAAGAAGAAAAAATAAGAAATAGTTATTTTACTAAGTGGAGAAAAATTCAATAGATTTTACATGTTGAGCATTTAAAATAGCAACTTGTGATTTCATTTCAATAAGTTTTGATATAATTAAGGAGAATGTGCATTTCCCCATTTCCATATATTATGTAAATATTGTATCTATCAAGACAAAATAAATCTGTAATTATTTATCGCTGCTGAATTTCCAATTAAACTTAGCTGTCTTGCGCATGCGCATTCGGTATGTCATTCTGACGAATGACGTCAAACGTCAAGGTGGGTCAATTTGGTAATGGCGTCGCGGTGATAACACGAACAGTATTTCAACGGCTGTTGGTGTGTGCGCTTCGACGAAACGTACAAAACAATTCGAATTGAAATGAAAAATACGCTGTGATGTTATTTAAGAAGTAATTTAAGAGAAAACTGAACTCATAAAGTTACATTGCAGTGTGCAGTGATCTCCTGAAAATCGGTGCAAAATGGCAAATTTTAAGAAAACTCCGTTATCGGGGCCTGTGTTACTAGTGATATTATGTTTAGCAAGTGAGGTACGTATTCGCAAAAGTATAATTTAAGCAGAAGTGATTGCATGTTGACGTTTGTCACATCCTGTCACTTCCTATATTTAAAAAGAGAAAGTTCACATTTATTGTCAATTTGACGTTATTCACAATCTATGAATTTATTTTCTTGATAAGAAAGTTACGAGGAAGTGATAAGCCCTTCGATTGTGCGGAACTATGCCCCTGTCCAACTTTTTTTATGTCACGGTGACGCAATTATGAATCACCTGAGCACCGTTTACCTCGATAAGGAATTCCAGAAATTTTAAAAGGTATATGGGACACTTCCTGATAAGAGAAAGTGGATTCCTGGAATAAGGTGGTATCCATATAGATGTGGTAGTTCAGTTTGGTTTGGCTTACTTCATGGTTGAAGTTCGGACTTCAGGGACATCGTTAGAGACATTAGTCCACCTGTGCTATTATTGTAATGAGCACTGTGCATTTGAACATAATGAAATTAATGATACCACATCAAGTTCTCGAGAACAAAACGAGGAGAAATTACCGGTTTCTGTATTTTTTTTTTACATAAGTACTGAAATAGGTGGATCTAGGTAATGTCGTGTAAAAAACATTTTGTTATCAGTTTCTAACAATCGGTATGCTTTTGGAACACATGTCCGATATGAGGTAGTGTCCTTGGTTCAAAAAGATTTCTTGATTTGTCTTGACCCACTTGTAGTTTTATAGGTTAATGTGCAGAGACGCGGAAAATGAAAATTACAGTTGGGTCTTTGGACTTAATAGTTCTGTTTTTGTAGAAAGCATTTCCATGAATGTGTAATTTCATACTGTCTAGACATTTTATGGATTTGTTGAGTGCAAAAATTATTATTTTTCCTGTTTCTGTCTGTATGCATTAATTACATAATTTCTTAGATAATTATGTTTTTTAGCTATGCCTTAAAATTACCTTAAAGGTAACAAAACATTAAACATTATTTATACACTTCTCGTATTCATTTCTGCTCACAATTTTGATAAGTAAATTCCACTTGAAATGCTGAGAGAAATAAGAAATAAAATAAATCTCAAAGACAGTCATGGATTTTTGAAAGTGTGTCTTTGATCATTGCATTTCAAATTGATGGTGATCTGACAAAACGAAAATTCTGTCAAAAAAATCCATTTCTGTTTTTAATTGTATTTTTTGTTGCTCTTTTGATATAACGTAATATTCTGCTTTTCCTGTCGCTTGGTGATCTAACCATATTTCGTAAAAGAATTGTTCTAAAAAAGTGTACGTTGAAAAAATTGATTCGGATATTATATAGAACATTATATATATTTCCTCAATGAAAATATGTGGAGAGGTGTGGTATTGCTTGTATTGCATTATTATTCTCTCATTTTTTAGAAGTGTTTGTTCAGAATCTCATAATAACAAAATGCGTGAATCATCTAATTTTGTACATAGTAAGATAACATGTTCAATGTTCTATTGAACATATCAAAATTTGTATGTCCATATTTACCATACTAAAAATTTTTGATATGTATTTTTTATATGGTGTATGTGTTCTTCAGATGCGTGAAAAGTTAGTAACAATGATTTTGCCGATCTTTTTTGAAAGCTATTCGTTACTTTAAGGCGCATAATTACTTATTTTCAGTATTTCATACTAACACTTCTATGTTTTTGACAGATTATGATGACGTTATATTTGATAAGTGTGATAATTAAACCACAAACGAAACTGATAATCGACAAATTGCAAAGCTTTTAAAACATCGCCGTCTGCCATCATTTTTCGACTAAGATTTAATAATTTGAAAAGATCAAAGTATGTACTGTGATGAGATTGTAAAAGTTGCCACAAGTTGAGCATTTAACCCATATTCACAACTAGAACTTTCAGCGAACTCTAACTACATTCGCAGTGTTCATCTGATAACAAATGAAACTTGTCACTATAATATACAGGATGGTGTCCGTATATATTATATCATTATTGATATTTATTTGTTTTACTTTAACATTTCAACGGGCTCTGAATTATGTATGCAAATTGTATGAGAATTGGAATTCAAAATCACAGTTCTGACAAATCTTCTTTCGCCGGGGCAATATTTCATGCATATCAGAAATGTTTAATGCAAATAGTCCGGCTATTAGAAACATTGGAAATGAATGTTTATGTAAATACCGATTATACACTGTTTTTATTTTACATTTAAATGTTTATCGATGGAATATTTGGTTTTCTAAGTCTGAGACATAACAACGGGTGTGCGACTGCAGTTTTCTTATTAATTTCATTTTTTCACCTTGTTTTTGATAATAAACAGCGTTATTTTAACTAAACCTGTTTGTTGCCATGACGTTATCCGCCGTCATTGTCTGGTCAAAAATATGTTACGACAGATACAAGAACTTGAACTTGGTTTATACAGCCGGTTGTAAGTAGTTAAAATCCACATAAAAATAAACATAATGTCCAGTTTTATTTCTAATTTTATTATTTTGGAATGTATACAGAGTATAACTTGCAACTTGTTTTAAAAACGTAAATATAACGTTGATCTTACGGCAAAGTAAAGCTTTTTCAAATTTTATTTATAAAAAAAAAAATATCAAAAGTTATTTAGGCAGATCTTCCTTCGTTTCTGAAGTACAGTCGAGCAATTACAGATTCTTAAATAATATAATTTGATTTTGCTAATTTAATTATTTTTATGGTTACCCTTGTATTGTAAGTTAAAATAAAGATGTGTGTGGAGGGGTAAAGGATCATGCTATTTGTATGTTTCAATTGAATTTAATATGTCGGTATTCTAAAAATAAATCGCTTTATTAATTTTTTTTTTGAGTCACTGGATAAGCGAATCTTTCATTGGTAAACCACAAGTTAAACTTATAGTCATAATATTTTGCACATTTTAGTTACGATTTAGCCAGTAAAATTTTGAGATGACTTCTTCAAATTTTTCGAAAGTTTCACAATTCGTAAGTTAAATTAGAAAGCGTTGTTATATATACAATTCTGATTTTTTCTTCTAAAAATCGGGATGTCGTAATGTAAAAAATAAAGACATGTATGTTATTTTATAAAATTTCAAACGATAGACAGACGGAAACGGGAGACATACTTTTATACTCCCAAGGGGATATGGAACGTCGAGTAAACCTGAAATCCTCTGCTTATGCTTCCAAAGTATTCCGCCAAGCAACATACGGAATGTTTTGCTTTCTCACACTCGATGGTGTATCATCACAAACATATTTACTGCATTATAACTATTTTTGTTAAGTTTCGTTTTCAATTTACTCCATGTTTTTCTTGGAAAGTTTTTCTGTGCAAATCATCAGCTAAAACCACAGAAAAACAAAATAACTGAATAAGAAGTAATTTTAGCATGTTTTTCTGCATAAATGTTTTTAATTAAATAATGCGTTGAATTATTATTATTAAATTTAAATTACTGCATTTAAACGAATGGTCTAAACCGGGTTACCGTACTTGTTTTTAACACAAGTACAATATTTTGTGCCTCATGTGGGTTAACGCATTATAGATTTTAACATCAACTTTTCGAACCACATTTTTGGAGATCTTGATGTTCTGTTCTGTTTTCTTTTTATATTGGCTTTCTCGTCATAGTTTGCCAAGAAATATAGTAGTTTTATGACTTTGCCTCCTTCACTACCCCCAGTACATTTTACTCTGGTCTTTGTTCACAGGTGTTGCAAAAATCAAAGCTATACAACCACTTATTTTCGTTTGTTTGATGCTTTTTTTCTATTTAATCCGTACATCGAAACGTTCTTCAATTTCTCTGTAGCTTTTTTTTTTTAAATTAGTGAAAGTTCACAAAGTTTATCGATAGGTACAGCATCAAAATTTTGCAAAACAAATGTCTTCACGCTTATACAGTGTATATTATTGAATAAAATCGGCCTATAAATATGTATTATGGTGAACAACGAACTTTTCATGACAGTTTTTATTCTTCCGTTAGACAAAAGATTAAAAAAACAAACAAACTGAAGCATTCTTTGTCATAAGGAGAGTTTTGACCTACCGTGACATTTTCATACGTACATATGGCACGTAGATGCATCTTTTTATGATATCTAATAATAAACATTACGTATAATAATATTTTTCGACACAAGTTAGAATCTGTTTTGATGTTGCGTACCTACGTCCAGTGTATAAATAAATATCTGTGCGATGTTCTATTTCTGAATTATTGATTGACCAGAAGGCTTTTCAAAGGACTCATTTTATTTCAGCGCATACATATTTAAAAATAAAGTTAAAGTTATGTTCCCCATGACATGGTAATACTTATTTACAGTCTGGGAAAATCCTTGTTACCAGGCGAGATTGAAGTTTGCCCAGGAGTTGATTTGTGTAGTCGCTAATCAGAATCACATAAATGTAATAATAATACGTTAGCCCATGTGACGCGTACAAAATTTTTTCCATGACTTTGAGATAATAGCTAGAAATAAAAGTATACAGGAGCCCTTAGTAGGTTTAAGTTTTGTACAAATGATAGCTCCATGAAATATTCAGAGATTCCTTCCGCGTTGCGTTGTTAATTGCCTCAGTCACAAGTCAAATTGACGTAAAAAATTGTAATAAATAAAAAATGCAATAATATGACTTCAAATAACTTAAATGGGAGGAACAAGTTTATTTTATGTGGCAGTTAAAAGTATTGTATTTTTTGAAAAGTTACGACTATTACGATTGGATACTACTTTTTTTTGAGGTATGAAATTGATAAATATATTATTCGGGCCTACTGTAGTCTATCAGACCCTGAAGATAATTTTTACATAAATATAATATTGTTTACAAGTTGATTTGTACTTCGAACTTTAGCCACTTAATCATACGTTTTTTATTCACTCAAGGCATGTTTGGTATCTCGTTTCAGTTCAAATAAATTTTACCTGTACGGAAAATCGAATGCTTGCTTTATGATCGATGCTTCACTTTCCGATAAATTCGATAACAGCGAACTCTGTATTCGATAAATCTTTATTAGAGATTAATTTCCTTTGTTTAGGTTATCATGATATTGGAACAACCTAAATCGCCCCTTACAATCAGTTCGTTAAGTTTCAGAAGTTGACGCTACGTTCATTCTAAACTTGATAGTTGTATACTAAAGCACAATTCTGATTTGAAAATCATGTCATTGTGAAGAATTTTATGGATCTGCAAATAAAATTTGTCAAATAAACAGCAAAACCTTCGATATGTTCTTGCAAAATCTAAAGACGATAGTGCTTATCAGAAGTCGTCGCGACCACGGCTTTCATGAACATTGTTTAGTTTTTCTAAACTGTTTGAAACATCCTTGAAAATAAACAATGATATATTCTAAAATTAAACGAACATGTTTTTGCCAATAAGTCCACTGTTTTGTTTATTTCAATTTCGTCAAGTCGTAGTGTTAACATCAGAGTAAATACTTTCTTTGCCACACGAGTATTTATTTATAGCTTTTAATTTCAAAATTGAATCATATCCGTCCCAGACATCGGAATAATTGATCACGACAAGAGTTGAAAAGGTTAATAAATGCCATCATGGAGGGACAACTTGTTTCATTTTCTCAGGGTACCCTTTGAATTAAATTAATCAAAGCTTTAGATGTTGACCGACACTAACTACATGAGAAAGGAAAAAGGTCACACCACTGGGTTTCGATTACGTAGCAAGGTGCATGTATGGCTTCAAGGTTGTGATTCATGCAGCCGATAGAGCACAAATGCAAATTGTTTTCACATGTCTAGGTTGTTAACTAGAAAAGATTATTTGTGTAATCGATGGACGAAGACATTGCACAGTGCTTCGTGAGATAGAAGTAAAGTTAAAACATACAATTCAGCCACAAAAAAGTACACATGTATGGTTTGAAATTAGAATATTCTGCTCTATTCCGCTCGAAATGATGATATTTTGCAAATAGCGTTGTGCCCAGTGTGATTCGTTTTAAAGCTCTTATCTAACCTTGGTTCTGAAACTGGTGTGCGGTCTTCAGGAAATCCGCAAGTGTATAGCTTCGAGTTTATACTTCCTGAGCGCAAGCTAAAGTGAAGGCAAAAGATTTACTATCTCACATGCACCTACCATATAAGGGTGCTGTGATAATGGACAATGCGCTATTTCACTCAATACAGGCAAAAAAATCAGTACTGAGAATTAATAACACGTTTTAAAAGAAATAATCAAAAACAATGTGTTATAGATACAATTTTAAATGACAAATGGCATGGAGTTCGTAGATTACCTTCGTATCATCATCAATACAACCCAATTGAATTGGCACGGTTTTTTTTGTCATAAGAACTTACAATAAATATAACAACCTGCGAGTAGGAATAATGTTGTCAATTTATGGTCGGAATCACTTCTGAAATGCACTATGCAAGTCGATAAATTCCGGGCACCAGCTTATTGTCACGTCAACATAACATTTAAAAATTAATCTTTGAAAGATGCGTATTTAGTAAAAATAACAACTATAAAAGATGACGTTATTGGTAACTAACGACTGCTTTAGAACTAATGACACTGAAATGACACTAACGCCCGAAATGTATTGATGTACACTTGAAATGTGGCAAAATTATTGTAAACACTGCGAACAATTATTTGCTTCAGATTAGGAAAAATATATAGGTAATTTTTCGGTTACTAATATTCCTCCATTCATTATTTCGTTTGGAGATTCTGATTGAGGATCTGATTTTGATGATTTAGATTCAAAATTTAATATTTATCAGAATAATTTAATTTAAAATGTGTTAATTTCTTTTAGTTGAAATATTTTCTAAACAAGAACTGCGCTATAAACATACACTTTTATTTTATTTCAGTTAAAGGATTTATGCATGACAAATCACAAAGTTTCCAACTAAAATGTCAGATTTTCATAGCTTATGCAAATTTGGAACCATCATGAACGGTGACATTTGGCCACTCTCTGCGACCTTTTTTATCGATCGTTATTTGTATACTTGACAAAGAAGTCAAAGAAACGGAATTACATTGTAACAAATTTAGGTTATGGAATGTCGTTAATGTCAATGAGAGTATGGAAGAAAATGTATCCAGAAAATTACGTAGAGAAAACAGTGGTCTATATCAAGAATTGTCGGAACAGATGATAGAAAACTGTAGCCAAATATGAAATACGAAATTTTACAAATTAGAAAAATTAAAAATTAATTTTAAGGAAGAAACTAAAGGTAAAGCACAAACCGAAAGAAACCAGATAGGTTAATAGAATGAAAGAAGCAAGGAGAGGAGAAAGGATAGGAGTGTTGAATTAAATTTGTTAATTTTTACAATGATTTTTGAGCGATTTATAAATTTTTAGAAATTCAAAAAAAATTAAAAGGGGCATTTTTTTTAAATTTTGTAAAATTTTACTTTCTGATTTATTTTGTTTATAAAAAATCTTTAAATTTACTATTGCAATAAAACTACCATAGCCACTATCTATTTTACGAAATAAGTTTAATTGCTGAAGCGCATATTTGTCTAAATTCCTTTAGAACAAATAGTAATTAAGTAATTAGATAGCTTGATTACGCACTCAAAGATCTACGTGTCGCATTGCGTCGCTTACAAAAAATTTTAAAACGGCTGTTATGATTATTTATTGATTCGAAAATATCAGAATGTTATTATTTAATCATTAGCTAATTAACTTAACCGGGTGGTGTCAGTGTCATTGCCAATTAAATGATAAAGAAAGACTTAGTTGAACTTCAACTTATCGTCTTCACTAAATAAAAGTCAACTTTATAGCTGTGTTATGCATATTCTTCATAACACTTAATTATTAAAGGTGATGTATGTAATAAAAATGGTATTTGACGAATTTGACTGATAAATGTATGTAAGAATGAATTTTTAAATTAATTTAATCCTTAAAATGTACAGTTTTTACAAATCTCCGAATGAAAGTAAGGCTAATAAGAAGCTCGTAGCTGTTTGCAACAATTTTAAAAAATTGCATAAACGGGCATTTTCTTTTTCATTTGTTCTAATCGTTGTCGATAAGAGCAGTCGCTACGTTTGTTTCTTTGGCAGCTTCTACGACACAAGTTTTCTTTGCTGTATCTCATTTGTAACAAAAAAAGTCGACGATATATTGTGTACGATTTTTGGAGTTTTGTAAGCGAAAAACAGTGTTGAAAACCGCGTTCCGAAATTTAACGAAATAATTGAGATATTGATTTTTAAAGATACGTTACACAAAAATTTCTCGAAAGTAAAGAAAAAAGGATGATCACAAACTGTTTTTAACAAAACCACCATTGCGTTATATAAAGAAAGTTGCGGACAGATTACATTGAAAATTTTACAACCATAAGATTGGATAAAAATGGAGATATTAATTCTGAATATGCACTAAAAAGTCCATGCAGAAAACGTAGCAACTGGCCTTAAAGTAAATAAAAATGTGTGGTGATCTACAAAATTTTATGCCACACGTTTATCAGAGTTATGAATGTATTCTTATTAAATCTTGTTGCAATTTCACCTCTTCCAGCTTTCTACAACTAGGTTGAGAACAATGTCATGGGAAGTTCTTGGAAAAATGTTTTCTGTGCTCTTATTCGCTAGATTTCCAAGCTCCGTCACCTTAAACTTATTTGAAATGAATGCATAACAAGTTGTGCAATAAAAATGTACTACAATGTATTGGATAAGTTGTAAGTTATATATTGTTATTTCATGAAAGTGTCAAAAGTGTATAAATCAAAAAGTTTAAAAGCCCTCTAAAAAGTTGTCGGTTTTTCGTCACTTAGTCACTGTTATTGAGTGTTTTCTAAATTCTTTTAAAATATCTGAAAGATTTTTTATTAATAGCCATTAATAAATATTTTGTTCCCAAAAGGGTCACATCGAATTGGCAAGAAAAAATCCTTAGGTGGTTTTTGTATAAATACGAAATAATTCGAAACTATAAGTCAATTTAAAAAATAGATACCTCTTCTTTATACTTTAAACGTGCAAAGTATGTTAGTTTTTGTAATTAAGTGTTGTACATTTAATAATAATTGAAGTAACTTTTTCGTTCGTTTAACTTACTGCTTTATTGTTAATATAGGAAGAATTCGTGTTTTGAAGTGTTTACTGTTTTGGAAAGTATTGTTTCATATTTTTCCCATCTTTTGTAAAGTTTAAGTGGACGGACTTCTTGTAATCTATTTATAGTTATTTACAGATTAACCGTGATAAAAATACAAAGAATACGTCTTGTCTTTCTTTAAAAATAGCATACAATGAAAACATTGGTTAGCTTCGGAGAGTCTATAATAAAAAGTGATACTTTTTTTATTACTCAGTTGACATTTTTCTCGCCATAATTTTTCTCTTATTATGTCTGTTTTATGAATCATATCTTTTATGAGTTCATTATAGAGAACATTTTTCCTAGTCTGCGGTAAATTTTAATGTATATTTTTCACATTTATGCGTCCATAAAAAATTAGTGTCTATGTTCCTAAGTTCGATAGCCACTTGTTAAAAATTTGTATCGGAAAATAATTACTAGTTAAATTTAATTAGATTAGTTAAATAAAATAGCTAAAATTCTTTCATACAAGTATCATCATTCATCTCTCTATTGCACAAAATATTGAGCATTTTCTTTTTATCTGTTTTCAGATTAGATGCGCAGAAAACAACACAACCACTAGCAGGAAGGACACACAACCCCAATGCGTCTGGTACGGGGAATGCAACAAGTCAGGACGACTAACACAATATTGCGAATACAGCGGTCCTCCGAAGGTTTTGAATGACTCTTCAGCGTTAGATACTCTTTCAAAGTGGTGTCCACATCTAGTCCCAGACCCAAACCAGTCCATCGACGCTTGCTGTGATTCTGACCAAGTGGCTACCTTTGCCAGCAGTATAGAATTAGCAGCAAATCTTCTCAAGAGATGTCCTTCCTGCATGATGAATTTGGCGAGGCATTTATGCGATATGACCTGTGGGGTAACACAATCCAACTTCATGGAAATCGTCGCTACTAAAAATAACACGAAAGGACAAGCGTACATCACTGAAGTGAACTTGTACATAACTAATGATTATATAGAAGGTACATATAATTCGTGCAAGCAAGTTATGGTTCCATCCACCGGACAAAAAGCCATCGATCTGATGTGTGGAACGTGGGGAGCTAGCAAATGCACGGCGAAAAGATGGTTTGATTTTATGGGCACGTCGGGCGATTCGAACCCTTTTGTGCCTTTCCAGATTAATTATTTGAATAATTCCGATCCTGTTAATCATAATGGACACCGATATGTACCGGATAGTCCGCATATCACGCCTTGCAGTCAAGCGTTTGATGTAAGTTGTTTTTCCATATTATTTTTGAACGTACCAAAATAAGATTTATTGACGATTTTATAGTTTTTCCAATGCAAACAGTGGTTAAATGCTGTTTATGTACGGTTGACTCACTGCTTAAATTTTAAATAGTGACAAAGTATGCGGACAATGTAAATTGTTAGGTTTCATTTATGGTTTTTAAAATTGCGCAGAATTTTTCGTGAAAAATAAACTGGAAATTATGTGGAATCTGTAGCAAGATTGTTAGCAGAAAATTGGGATTTTAAACATGAAACATTTTTAGCTGCAGCATTTACGAGAAAATCGGATCAAGCGAGCGAAATATTGATGCCAATGAAAACATTCCCTTGTCAAATCATTTTCAACAGGAACCTCAAAACTACCTGAATTAATGACTCTATTTTATTCATTCATTCAACACATGATGTGAACGTTTTTGAAAACAAATCGCCGCAATGCTAATTTGTAATCTATTACAATTCAATACAAATTTATAAGACCAGAGTTTTGCAAGTACGATGAGGTGTCTGTTGAATTTAATAAATGTGTTAGCAAACATTACGTGATCACTGTTCATATTGAAATTAATTATAGTGTATTTTCATTGTGGTGCTGATGTACCAACATTGAAAAATCTCTAAATACGATTGTCATGTTCGTTGATTTTTACCAATGATGAATTAATTGATGCGAATTTACGACTAGGATGTCAATTATTGTGGTGAAAATTGGGTGACCTCAATGATTTCACGATTTATTTTCGCGGCCGTGAGTTACTAAGTAATTGTGGCCCCGGTGTGATTACATTGAACAGATTTTTTATTTGAATTTTATACACAAATTTTCGTTATTTTTGGACTAGATCAAGCACACTAAATTTAAAACTGAAAGTAACCGTTACATGTTGTGACAAGATGTTTTGTTCGGAAATTTTCTGATTTACTTCTTGCTTCTTATATTGTGATTTCAAGGTATTCAAGGTTAAAAATAAGCTATTGGCAAGCCAATAAAATTCGAGTACGTATTTAATTATTCCTGAAGGTGGTAAACATTTACCAGCTTTTTTTTATTTAATCGTGTGTTTTTAATTCTACAGCAATTAAACAATTAAATTGACGTACCTTTTGCTTTTACATAAACTGTGAAAGTTGGACTTGATGTAAATTGCGTATGTTGTTTTTTTCTGATTATTTTAAAAGTATTAAAAAATAAATTAGTAATTGCCAAGCGGTGTGGATTAAAACGTAATCAGTATTTTATGATCACCACGTCCTTTGATATTTTCCAATGTTAAATGCAATAGTTATCCTCGAAACATCAATGAATCCCTAAATTACAAATTCCTTATAATTAGTTCCGCCTGGTTTCGCTTCATATTATTTTGTTTTGTTTATAATTTTGGTGTATCACATCCGAATTATTTGTTATTTTCCACCGTAAGAAACGAGTCATGTTGACTCTATTAACCCTCGAGCGGGCGCGCGTTCTGACATTCCAAGAGCGGGCGCGTCGTGTATTTTGTACACAATGAATAGATGTGTCGTTTAAATGTTAAATTAATGTTTTTTATTAAGTAGAAATGTTGACATTTCCTTTATCATTTTATTATTTCAATAATTAAACAACATATGACGCTTTAGATATAAAAATTTATTTACAAAATTTAACAAGAATGTAAGACAAAAATCAATCACTTTCGATTTATCTTTTCCTATAAAGTTGTCATTAGATGACATCAAACTAGTTCCAGGATCATTAGGAAAATCTTCTGTATTGCTACAGTCCGCGAGAAGTTCAATTTCAGATTCAGAGTCGTGACCACTGAACGCAACTACTTCTTCATCCGTTTCTGAAATATCTTCATTTTCTAATTCAGTTGGCTCCGTTTCTGAGTCTTCATCATGCAGAATTCTATACAGCTCATCATCTGTTAGGTAACGTCTTCTAGCCCTACAAAATTTATATAAGATCACAAAATTTATTGGCATTCAAAAACTTACATATTTTTAGTTCTTTTTCAATCGGTGTCTTATACAAAAATTAATAAAACGTCCCTTGAAAATCTGAAAACAATAAAAATATGATTTTATAACTAATTAATTTCATGCAACAGGTTACTAATTGAATGAATATAAACAAATGTTGCGCTAAAAATGACAAAATATTAAATACTTACATCAGAAAGCGCGGCGTGTACTCTATACACAACACGGGAGAGATTCTTGTTTTTGCTAACTGTTTAGTTCTCACACTCACAAACAAAAGTTTTACTTGACCACTCGAAAGACAAAACTCGACTAGAGGAATACCTGAATCTACCCGACCGGATGTTGTATTATGCTAATTTTAGAACCAATAATCTGGTCACCGTGTACAAAATACACGTGCGCGCCCGCTCGAGGGTTAATAATTGCAATTTTAGCTGTTGATCATCCGATCTATTTCTGTGACGGCTGGGGTCGTTAATTGGTGCCTGAGTTAAGACGTAGATGTGAAAATAAATTCCAAATGCATGGAAAGCTAAAAGAATAAACCATATTGATTAAATAATGAAGTTAGCATAGACACGTCACGCTTGTGTTAATTACATAGAAATACTTTCATTTTATTTACTTCTAGTGTATGAGTGAAAATGATAATGATGAGTTATAATTACAAAGTAGTTAATTGTGCAACGTTAAAACAAAGCAAACATTTTTAAACACTTATTGTGACTCTATATTAGTTGACTTCGTTGCAATCATGAAATTATCGATTTTATGAAACGACAGATAACATATTGTTCATGCTTACATTCTTTGTGCAAAAAATAGAATTATTGATACAATTTTTTAATGATTTTATTTTATTGCACAGGTTATAGAGTGATAAGTGTTATCAAATTGATAACTTTTTTTGAACCACCATATAATAACACCAGTAAATATGTTTTTCAATTATTTATAAACATTTTGATCCTGTCACGGTTAACTAAACTTGTTTTTTAAAATTATTAAATTCAAATTACCGAGAGCAATAAAAAATACGATGGAAGAGAGCCATTTCAAATTGACGGTAATCTGACAGTACATTGTATCAAAGACAAATCTTCAAAAATCCATAGCTGTATTTGATCGTGTTTTTAATTGCTTGCTCGGTACTCACTCTAACACAAAGTTAATTACTATTACAATGTTTGAAGTAGTGATATCTAAATCCTAAATGATATGCTTTATCGGTGAGATCATTTAACTGTTTCCTAACTTATTCAGGTGTGAGCCAGAGAGTGAAATTCTTATTAAATCGATAAAAATTGGTCAACACGTTGCGATATGTCAGTGAACAATAAGGATGTGTAATAGTTACTTTTCAACTACCCTATCTTATTTTACGAGTGTTATTATTGTAGAATTTGAGCGGTGGGCCAATGCAGCTTATGATTTAGACAACAAAAACGCTCAAAAAAATAATAGACACATTGAAATAGTTTCACAACAATCAATAGTTTTCTTTTTACTTTATCTAAAACTCAAGTGCTTGTGGAACACTTGTGTTTGGATAATTTTTGGAACATCGTAATCTAAAAATCTTCGACATTATTGCCCTAATTTTTTTTCTTCAATGTACATTGCGTCGTTTTCTTAGTTGGTTATACTAAATTTATAATGCAAGTTTACACACACGAATGTACCTTGATTTAACGAATTATAGCATACAGTTTAAGTATTATTGATCAGCTTCGTAGGTATCCTGATCTTTTCGCGTTTCTTCTAGTGTTTTTTTAGATCTCTTTTGAATCCAAAAAAGCCTATTTTTAACGATTAATGATCACAAAATCAAATTTTTTATCTTTCTAAAGTATGAAATAGATTTGCAAAAGTCAGACAGACCTATTAAATAGTAAGTAGTTCGATGCGATTTTGCTCATTTCCGTTGACGTCATTATGTGGTCTGTATTCAAGATTAAGTCAGGAAACACTTGAATTTGTGAAAAGTAACTTACACCTTCAAATTTGTTAACAGTTCCTCTAAAAGTGAGACATGACGAGAAATCAAATCAAATGCAAAAGAAATGAGATGAAAGTACAAAGTGTAAAGAACAGATACAAACTGTTCATTTTAAAATTTTGTATTAAACTAATAGTTTTTTTCGTTAGGTAATGAACAATCTAAATTATAATAGTATCGCTCTACCTTTTCAATTAATTTATAAATTAATAATAATGGTTGAATATGAATTATATCGGTTCGGGTAGAGTGGAAACCGTTTAACCGTTTACCATTAGAGACGTAGTGTTGGAATATTTAAATACTTTTTAATTATTATAATAATACACTATCAGCAAGGAATACACAACACATAATATTACCTTTTTTTATTAAGCACGCGACAAGTACATGCAGCTCGTTTAAATTAACAAGGACAGATAGCTATAACTGTGTTCGTCTTACTTATGGTAGTGTTTACTTTACTTTATACAAAATGGTGCAGATAGCATACTAGCCACATATACATATTGTAATAAATATAAGATTTGAAAAAAAAAGCTATAAACAAATACCTGTTCATACAAGACAATTTTTTGTCACGCTAATGACGCCTAAATCTAACAAAATAAAAATATTTCAGACAAAATCAGCGGCGTGCAGTTGCGTGGACTGCGAACAAAGCTGTCCAGTGCCACCCCCGCAGCCGCCGCCACCGCAACCCTTCACCATCGCGGGTTTCGACGGTTACTTCTTCCTCATGGTTGTCGTTTTCATCGTCGGCACTCTGATGTTCCTTCTGGTCGTTTTCGTCTGTCCAACAAGAGCCGATATCGGTAAGAGCGTTGACTGGTTGCGGTTGATCAGTGTTGGGTGTAAACCTTTGGTTTGTCAAAAGAAAATCTGCTGCATGCCCTCACGTCTGTTTGCAGGTTTTCGTTTTTGCGTAAAAAAAAGTGTTCCTGATGTAAACGCAGGTTTGGGCGAGGATAGTCAAGGTAGCTGAAATGTTGTGTTATTCGGCTGAGGGCTGTGTAAAATTTTGTTTGCAGATTTTTTTGTGTGTTTTATTTTTGTTTTGGACTATTGCTTTGTTTCTGTTTTTGTACTAACGTTTGTGTTACGATTAATTTTCTCTCAGTCACACTAAATTAAGCAAAAAGCATTACACATAATTTTGGGGAGAATGACGGGATGATATCGCATAAAACTTGGTTATCATCATTGCATAAACAATCACAGGAAATTGTTTGTGTCATTAGTGAGGATAATGAAAGTTATATGAATCGAATCTAACCTTCATATATATCTTTATTTTTGCAGTTTTTTTAATAAGTTTTTTGTGTGTTCAAATATTTAACAGGATATATTTTTTTAGCGATAGTCGGCATGGTTCTAAGTCGTAAAGATATTCAAATCATGGGTTAACTGTCGCCCATAAACATTTCGAAGTTGTTAGGTAACTGACTCACAGTTGCGTAGATTTACAAATTTGCTTGAAAATGTAACGTAGTTTTTTAAATATTTGGACCCACAAGTTGTATATATTTCATGGGTATGTTATGTAATGGGTTAATTTTATTTTATTTGAAACCACTATTCCCTCGCTTTAAGTCAGACTTTTTGGTACATAATTTAAACTTTTTTTACTTTGTTTTCGTAAAAATTCGCTGAAATTGCGTTTTTATTTATATGCCAGTATCATGAGAGCGGAAATAATCATATTTTTATATATAAAAAAAAACAAGGAAACAAAACGTTAAAAACGGCGTAGTTTTTAGTACTTTTATCGTAGAAATGGTAATGTTACAAGTCAGGCCAGCGTATTTTTCGTAAATAACGTGGTAATAAAGATAGTAGTTTGTATTAATCAGTTTCTAGTTAATTTGATGGGTGTTTAAAATTATTGCGATAACAATTCAGAGTCGTTCGATGTTGAATCAGTCATTTCTAAGTATTGTAATCTATATATAACCACTAGGCAGTAAATGTTGATGTAAAATTTATTATTAATTCCTGTTCTACAATTGCACAGCGGTAGACATTTTTCATTACATGTACTTGTAACATATGCCGATCATACGTAGAATAGAAAATGAGAAGGTATAGATAGCTACGTTAAAAATAGTATTCTACAATAAATAAAGTTAGGTAGGGACCAGTACTAGTTAGTTACACGTGTAAATTTTTGTGATCTCAAGGATTACAAAGCTTATAATCTTAGACATCTTGGCACAAGATTATTATTTAAACTGTTAGTAGCAATTGTGTTTTCTTAATACGTTGCATTGTACAAATTATATAAAAAATGAAAGGATCTTATAAATAATGCATTGACAGGAGAACGACGAGAATAATGATTACTAATTTATTAAATTATTTCATTAAGTCGATAATTTCTTACAAGTTCACCACACTAGTTTTTCCAATTCAAATGTTACTCACGCTTTAATCGACAGTTCTCTGAATTTAGAAATCTGATAAGTATGTGTAAGAAAAAACTTCCTTTAAACGGAGTGATAAAAGCAGCACAGATCAGATTAGAAACTTTGATTTCAACAAATTAGACGTAATTTTTTGTTTTCGGGCTTCTATTTAACAACATTTTCAGTAATACTTATTTTATAATAATACACAGAGAAAATATAAAAACGTAAAAGATTTTAAAGTTACAAAAAATAAAAAAGTTTTCTTTTGACACCATGTCGTTACAATAACGGATAGTTGTGGAATTTTAGAATTTATAGTGCTGTTAATGTTGTAAATAATTCACCGAATGTCGTAAAAATACGTAATTCTTTTTTTAAAACTTGACTAGAAGTAATATAAATGTACCTTTTACCTCTTTTGTCATTGTAGTGTTGCTAATTATAGCTTCCAAAGTTCAAGTTTATACTTCACAAAGATGCTTGTGATATCACCAAGACAGTGTTTTATCAGAGGTAAGAACATTTGTATTAAGGTGGTGCATGAAAAATAATCCGAGAATTTAATATAGCGGAACTTCGATTTTACTAAATAAAATTCTTTTTTAAGTGCTTCCACTAATAACTTTTAATCGGTTGTTATAAAAATGGGAAGATTGTGAGGATATCGCTTCATAGAATTCGGCGATCAAGTATTAAATTTGATTGGGAAACAACATGGTACTTCAAGGGTAAATGTCTGATTGCAGGTGTCCTCTGATAACAACACAAAATTTCAAAATCAAGAAAGGTATAATTCTCAATTCCATAAGTCACTAAGTGAGACTATTTGGAATACAAATATAAAATACACGAACATGGTATATTCATATTTCACGAAAGAATACTTCGTTATAAATTTTTGTCCCAAAATTGTAGAGAAACTAGATGATTATTTAGTTTTGTTGTACTATACAAATATCGTATAGTTAATTAGCGCTATTTCATCACAATCCATATATCTGAATAGGTTTTTCCATTTAAATCTGATAATTTTTGATATCTAAAATATAATCTCGCACTGTACTTCAACTTTTTAAAAGATCTACTGGTACTATAAATTTTGGTTATATTTTTGTTTAAATTTATTCTGCATAAACATTCATATTTCGACAACAAGCGTTACTTTCTGAAAGCGTATTTGTGGAAAAAACAAAAACAGCAATTTCAGCTTAAGTCACTTGTATTGTCATTACATTTTCACGAGGGTATAGTGTTTTTTTGGGGAGAGTAGTTGGTTAGCGTGTGACGTGGCATGGGTTGCAGTGGGTTTGGTGACCGGGCATGGTTCAGAAGAAATGCGTGCTGCCGTGGGTAGACGACTGGCGGGTGTCGACAGGCGGTCTAGGCTGGTGCTTGGTAGCGACGAGGAAGATAGCCCCCTTCAGGACTCTAAGAGATCCAGTACGTGCCCTCCACCCTTTTAACCAATTTTAATAACGATATAACCATTTCGAAAGGCATTCGAAATAATCCGCTTTCACATACAGACTTACATCACTTTAACAGGTTTGGCTAATGCTTGACCGCATGATGCCCCTGTCAATGTACGATACAAAACTGTATTGCGACAGGTGGCCCAAAGGCAAATTTGGGTTTAGGTTATTAACCGAAACTTATTTATTTGTTGTTTTATTGATTGTGCGGTAGGTCTTTCCACGACAACTTTGTTGCTGTTGAGGTAGTAATTTAGGTGAAATCAATTGTTTCGAGTAGCGTGGGGTAGTCAAAAACATTTGTTTTTTTAATTTTACACCAAGTTAATGTGTTTGGTATCGCATTTCTATTTGTTATCTTTTTGGAATGATACAATTATTGAAAAATGAATCATGAAAAAATTATTCTTCCAAAAAGCTAGTGAAGGACATTACAACAAAACGATACATCTGCTTGCCGGTAATTAAAAATTTGGAATGTTAATTATTGTGTCCATTAATATTGACCAAAAATCCAGAATACAAAAGACAACTTCCAGTTTTTCGAGTTGTGAGATTAATTTGCATGTATTTATACAACACACCGTGTTATAATTAAACATTAAATCAATAATAGCTATGAGAACGTATGCATTAAATTTACAATTCGTTCTTTATTCGAACTGTTGGATTTTAAGTAACACTAACTTTTTATTAACAATTTGATTTATCCGGTCGATCGGTGCCAAAAAAAAAATTATGTGCTTCATCTACGATTTTTACGAGTTAGCGTTTTGGCTGCTGTAAGCCAAAAAGCATCATTATCTAGTTAAATATGCAGAAATCTGGATTTTACTATTTTTTGCCCGAGGCAACCGGCCGAGTCATGATTGGCGGTCATTCTTGTTCAATGAATTTTGAATGTATTTACATTATTTTTTTTAATTAAAATTAATGTTTAAATTGTATTTAATATGAGTTTATTTTTATTATTTATTCATTTGAATCCCAAAATATATGTTAAAAAAATTGTTGATCAAGTTGAAATATAAAATTAAGTATGAAGCTAATTATATCAAACCATGAACCTTTTATATTAATTGTTAAAGTTTTGGAGGCCGTAACAAGGATAGTTTTTACATTACTCTATTTATCCATAGATGGTGCTGAAAAAAGTAAACGATAATCAATAGCTACAAACTAGCATTTTAAACTTAGTGCAAGCATGAAGTGTTACTAGATGAAAGTGAGTTCTTTCGTTGTGTTATAAAATGATCAACAAACAAAACGTTATATTTTTGAAGGTATAAGCACATCAAAATTATCTTATTACTAAAAAAAAATGAAACAACAGCGTACGAAATAGCGGTCTACATTCGCTTAATACAAAAAAAGGTATGTCAACAAAACGTGACATGTCGGAGAATGTAAAACCGTTTTAAAAATCAATTGTTTTGTTAAGTTTTAATTATCGTATTTTTCTTTTGTAATGCGGACATTTTTACGCAGGTGTTCAACGAATAATCAATTATTACAGAGATTGTTTAAATTATTTAAGAAATCTAATCAATATACTAGGCAGTAAATAACAAGTTCTCGTCCTTGTTAAGTTCAAGCTTTTATTTATTTTTAACACTACTTGTGTCTGAGTCAAAAAAAATGTTGAATTTTCAATTATTTCTTTGAATATTATCTGTGTTTTATAAAAACTTGTCACATTTTGCTTGAAGTTAAGTTCAAGTTGAGGGATTAAAACACCAGATTTTAGCATTGTAAGCACACAAAATTTTCGCTTAAAATAAGCGTGTCGAAGGATTACCGAATTTCTGTGTGATATTCTATCTACATGTCGACTCATTATTGTGATATCGGCATGAGTGGTATCCTGTTGAAACCAGGCCTTTCCCGTTAACCAATACGGTTGTAATAATATAATTTTTTAAATTAAACTTCTGTGGAAAACGATTATGAAAATATGTTTTTCTGTTAAAGTATGAACTATTCTGATTACAATATGAATAATTGTAACTGCCCTAGTGATGATTTTTTTCGGTGTTAAAATATTTTACTAGGAAATTTTTTGGTCACTTAACTTGCTGTTAGAAAAATGATGAAAGTTGTTTTAAATTTGTATGCTCATTGTTGTATCTGAAGAATCTTGTATGACATACTCTCATCGGTCATCAGCTTACTAAAAAAAGACTGTTTACTTTAAACGAAACTTTGCTATAAACTTTACAACAAAGTGGTAGTGAAAAGACTTATGTAGGATGTACCGTAATTAAGGGTCATTAATTTAGTTTTACGAACATTCTTTCTGAAATCTTACAAATAAACCAAAAAGTTTTAACAAAAGAGTCAGGGTACTTTGAAGATAATTTATTGTAGTTTTAAGTGTAATATTTTTGAGTCGATAACCATCATTTAACGCTTATGAAAAATTTCGGGTTTGCCAAACCATATTTAGTCATTGTAGCTTAAAACCATTTTATCTTATTCAAGAAACACGCACATAAGGTCTTTTATTAAGCAAAAACGTGTGGTAAAAAATTTACTGTCTTATTTTAGTCGTGTTGGTAAAACTTTGGAACTTAATTCGGTACATCCTGGACATTCACTCGAATAGGAACGAGTTCCATGTGTTATATTTTTCACAGGTGTGACCTCAGAAATTGGCCACGAGCTTGACACACATTCCATTAACAAAATGCCGGGCGAATACGACAACCCTTCCTCATTCTTAGAAAAACTAGGTGCAAACACGGACACCTTCCTTCAGCGATTTTTCGAACGATGGGGTACAGCTTGTGCCGAGAAACCGTGGTTGGTTCTGTTTTTGGGTGCCTGTGTGGTAATCGGGCTAGGTCATGGTATTAAGTATTTACAAGTCACCACAGACCCTGTGGAATTATGGGCATCGCCTTCGTCGAGAAGTCGCGTGGAGAAAGAATATTTCGATAGCCATTTCGAGCCGTTTTATCGAAATGAGCAAGTCATAATAAAGGCGGTTGGTTTACCACGGATTTACCATAACACGTCGAATGGGGAAATTGTGTTTGGGCCTGCTTTCAACGACACCTTCTTGAAGGAGGTATTGAAGCTGCAGGAACAGATTAAGGCCATTGGAGTTGGGACTGATCATGCTTTGGAAAAAATTTGTTTTGCTCCGTTGAGGAGTGTCGGTCAGGTTGACACTGACGTCGAAGAGTGTGTGGTTCAGAGTATTTGGGGGTATTATCAGAATGATGTGACTACTTTCGACGAAACTGATGTGGATCCAGATGGGTACGAGACGAATTATTTGGATTTCTTCGTGGCATGTGCTCAGTAAGTATTTAGTTGTATTTAAATAAAAGCTTAAAAATATCGGAGGATTAATAAACCACAAGTATGAAAGGATGTTATAAATTTATACATGATTTGATTAGCAAAATTTTGAGATGACGTTATCAGATTGTTGGTGGGGGTTAACAAATTTGGGATAGCATTTAACCATCTAGGTGCTAATCTTAGGTACATTAAAAATCCACAACAGTGGTTCCAGTAGTTCAGCAAACTGCGTGTCTAATGAACTCGCCAACAGACACGCCAGACAAGTTTCATTAATCCGACCTCATTTTTTTACTTATACTGGGTATCCCATTATCGCTTCTCTTTAAAAAGGAGAAATTTTAAATTTATGATATTTAATTAAAACCAAAAAAATATATACGATATACTACTATTTTTCGGAAATGACATAAACTTTTTGTATGTTAATAAGTGCGCTAAAGAGTTTTTTTTCAGTGGTGAAGCACTTGACACGTAAGTCATGTTTTAAAAAAAAGTTGTTTGCGAGTCGTGCTCTAATCTCAAATATTTGAAAAGATAAAAGCTTGAAATTAGGAACGCTTAATTGATATGTAGAAAAATCAGTTAAATAGCAGTAGATATCTTATTTTTTTTATTGCAAATGACAACAGGTGTATTTTGAAGTGTTTTTATCAGTGATTTTGACACATTTGTGATGTACTTTGTTTAAGGAAATAATTTTGAAATTTAAAGATATATTGAGAAAATGAGATTTCACGTTAAGCCTCCCAAAAACACATAGATATTGTTTCTTATCTTTTTTTTCACATTTCGTTCATTTTTTTGCGAAATCAGTTTCAAACATTTTATTTTTGACACAACTGAAATACTGAAATGTCGCAATTTAATTTTTAGGGAATTTTGTAAAAAAAATCATAGCGGTAATACATTGTTGAAAACGTAAATTATTCTATTTAACGCATCTATAAAACATACCCGTTTTAAATGAGTGTTCGTGTTAGTTTACCTTTCCAAAATTGACAGTTTTATTTTTTCACAAAACAGAGATATTACAATGAAATGTTCTAAATCATTTAAGAGAAAAACAAAAAATATTGTACTTAACGTACTGAAAAAAAAAGCTTCATTTTATTTGAAAAGAAAAATTTGCTGTCATTTTCGTAAAAACCAAGGGAAATATAATACGTATAGTATATGTGCTCTATAGATTTCTTTGTCTTAATTGACCGTTGTAGATTTTATACTTCAATGTTTTCAAATAGTTGAGATATTAGAGTGCAACAGGTAAACTGGAATAGCGGCTACATACTAGAATTGCAGAAATAACTTTCATAATTCGGATTTTTAATAGATAGATAATCTTCGAAACTACCGGACCGATTGATGTCAAATTTTCTATGTATGTTAGGAATACATATATAGATGGTATACTTTGTCTTGTCTAACAGTATAAGAATTTTATGGACTCCCAACGTTAATTCGTTTTACAGCCCTGTTGTCAATTATGTTGTACAGCCAAAGAGGCAGGGCTGTAAAACGAATTAATGTTTGGAGTCCTTTAAATTTTTATATTGTTAGAGAAAATATAAAATACTAATCAAAATCATCATACAATTTTGTCGAAGAAATGTTATTTAAATGTTAGCAAGTAACATAGCCCTGAACTTGTGGTTTATGAATCCGTGTTGAATTTTTATCCTAGCCATCGAGACCTTTGAAAAAAAAATTATAGATATGTATTATACCAATTTTTGGAATTTTCGATTTTTCGGCTTTCGATTTCTCACTTTTTCGATATTTTAGTTTTGAAATTTTTCGACTTTCTATTTTTCGATTACTCAATTTTTTGTTTTCTCAGTTTTATGATTTTTCAATTTTTTGATTCCTTAAATTAGGTACCGATGTTTCAGTTTTGGGATTTTTCAATTTGTCGATTTTATTTTTTTGATTTTTCAATTCTTCAATTTTTTTCTTCGATTTTTCAATTTTGTCATTTTTCAATATACATATTGATTGTTCATTTTTTAGATTTTTAGATTTTTTACTTTTTCGATTTTTAAATTTTCAATTTCTCGATTTTCAGTTTCAATTCGTCATTTTTTCGGTATTTTAATTTTTCAATTTTTAAAATTTTGGATTTTTCAGTTTTTCAAATTTTTTAATTTTAGATTTTTTAGTTTTTTGATGTTTCAATTCCGGATCTTGAGATTCTTCGACTTCTTGGTTTTAGATTTTTCAGTTTTTAAATTTTTCGATTTTACAATTTTTGATTTGTCGATTTTTCAATTTTTCGGTTTTAAAGTTTTAAGATTTATGGAGATTTTGAAATTTCGATTTTTTTAAAAATCAAGTTTTTCAATTTCTCAGTTTTTCGACTTCTGAATTTTTCGGATTTTTGTTTCCCGACTTTTCGATTTTTCTAATTTTAGATTTCTCAAGTTTTAGATTACTTAATTTTTCAACATTTCAATTTCTCTATTTTTTAATTTTTCGATATTTTAATTTTGGGCTTTTCGATTTTTCAGCTTTCGATTTCTCACTTTTTCGATATTTTAGTTTTAAAATTTTTTAAATTTTTGATTTATGGATTTTTAAATTTTTTGTTTTCTCAAATTTCCGATGTTTCAGTTTTAAGATTTTTCAGTTTTTGACGTTTCTAAATTTTGGATTTTTCAATTTTTCGATTAATCGATTTTTTAGTTTTTCGGCTTTTCGATTTCTCAACTTCTCGATTTTTCGTATTTCAACTTTTCGCTTCTTCATTTTTTCTTCGATTTTTCAGTTCTTCAATTTTTTCTTCGATTTTTCATTTTCAATATTTCAATGTTGTGATTTTGATTATTCATGTTTTATTTTTGATTTCTAGATTTTTTACTTTTTCGATTCGTCAATTTTTCGGTACTTTTGAAAATTTTCGATTTTTCAGTTTTTTGAAAATTTTGAAATTTTAGGTTTTTTAGTTTTTTGATGTTTCGATTTCCGGATCTTGAGACTCTTCGACTTCTTGGTTTTAGATTTTTCGATTTTTAAATTTTTGATTGTCGATTTTTCAATTTTTCGGGTTTTAAGTTCTAAGATTTATCAATTTTTCCGATTTATGAAGATTTTCATTTTCGATTTTTTTAAAAATCAAGTTTTTCAATTGTTAATTTTTCGATTTTGGGCTTTTAATATTACTCAGTTTTTCTCGACTTTCGATTTCTCGATATTTTCGGGATTCGTTTCTCAATGTTTCAGTTTTTCCGCTTTTCGATGTTCCAATTTTTCAATGTTCACATTTTTCGGTTTTTCAATTTCCCAATTTTGCGTCATTTCAGTTTTGGAGTTTTTCAGTCTCAATTTGTCGTTTCTTGAATTTTCAAATTTTTCGATTTTTTAAGCTTCGGATTTGTTGATTTCTTGGTTTTTTGTTTTTCGACTGTTCGGATTTTCGATTTTTAAATTTTAGATTTTTAACATTTTCCTTCTTTTTACTATTTTTAGAATTCTCGATTTTTCAGATTTTCGATTTCTTAATTTTTCAACATTTCGATTTTGGAAAATTTTCAATTGATCGATCTTTCAATTTTTCGGTTTTTTAGTTTATCGATTTTTCAATTTTACTATTTTTAACATTTCTCGTTTGCCCGTTGCTTGTCACAACACGATATTCCTAACAAATATTTAAAATTTGACAATATTCGGTCCGTTATTTTCGGAGATTGATTTATCTATCACAGAAAAATCTACACAGATGTTATTTTTTATTTTAATGCGTACTTTTTCAAATTATCATAAATGTACCATTTTTTACAGAAACCCCTATAATCCCAACTGTTTGGCAACTTTCGGCGGTCCAGTCGATCCTGCTATTGCCATGGGAGGATTCCTTCGACCAGGAGAACAACTATCTGAACAACCCAACTACCAAGACGCAACTGCAGTTATCTTAACTTTCTTGGTTAACAACTACCACAACAAAACAAAACTATCACCCGCCATGGAGTGGGAGAAGGCTTTCGTCGCTTTTATGAAAAATTGGACAGCCACAGAAAAACCTGAATACATGGAAATAGCTTTCACGTCAGAAAGGTCCATCGAAGACGAATTAGATCGCGAGAGTCAATCAGACGTCGTCACGATATTAATTTCTTACATAATCATGTTTGCTTACATCGCCGTATCATTGGGTCAAGTAAATACCTGCAGTCGGCTTTTGATCGACAGTAAAATCACTTTGGGCTTGGGAGGAGTCCTCATAGTTTTAGCTTCCGTTATTTCGTCGGTGGGTCTGTTCGGTTTCGTCGGATTACCCGCAACTTTAATTATCATCGAAGTTATTCCGTTCCTTGTTTTGGCGGTTGGTGTAGATAACATATTTATATTAGTACAGACCCATCAAAGAGAAGGACGCAAACCTACAGAAACTCACGCGCAACATATCGGAAGAACTTTGGGTAGAGTAGGACCTTCAATGCTATTAACCAGTGTCTCAGAGAGTTGCTGCTTCTTCCTGGGAAGTTTATCAGACATGCCAGCCGTTAAGGCGTTCGCTTTATACGCTGGTATGGCGCTTCTCTTTGACTTTCTTCTCCAAATTACCTGTTTCGTCAGCCTGTTGGCGCTAGATACGATCAGACAAGCAAACAACAGATTTGATGTGTGTTGTTTCATCAAAGGTTCGAAGAAAGAAAATGTGCCTCAAATAAATCAAGAAGGGCTTCTGTACTCGTTCTTCAAGTCGATTTACGTACCCACTTTAATGAATAGATTCGTTAGAGCGGCAGTGATGATAGTGTTCTTCGGGTGGTTGTGTTCGTCGATTTCGGTTGTGCCTCACATAGAGATCGGTTTGGATCAGGAACTGTCGATGCCCGAAGATAGTTACGTTTTGAAATATTTTAAGTATTTGAAAGACGACTTAAGTATTGGGCCTCCGATGTACTTTGTGGTGAAAGGTGGACTGAATTACAGCGATACAAAAGCACAAAATGCTGTTTGTGGAGGGCAGTACTGTAACGTGGATTCGCTTGTTACGCAACTGTATCAAGCTTCAAAGGCTGGCGACACGACGTATGTAGCGAGGCCTAGTTCGAGTTGGTTGGATGATTACATCGATTGGTCCGTCGCGGGGAACATTTGCTGCAGACAGAATAAGAAAACAGGAGGATTTTGTCCACACACAGAGAGTGAGTAGATACAATTTTCAATCATTTTATTCTGGATTGTGATTTAGATTTAGATTTAAATAAGTTAAGTCCAACGAATACTCTGTTGGCTTGAAAAAAATGCGTGACGCGTTTTTGGTCGTTTGCATATTTGATGACGATTTTAATCATGTGGATAGTTTGCCTAAATTTAGTTCCATTTTGTTATTCGTGCTATAAGTTATTCCAGATTAAGTTGGTAGCGTGCCTATATTTTTGTTATTATTTGTAAAAATTTCTTAGTAAGTTTCAATTCTGCTTACCTTAAAAGTACGCCCCTACATTTTTTTGCTATTACACTCAAACAATTAAATATTAATGTGCGTTTTCCAAGATTTACAAAAATGGTGTGAAATAATTTTACACTTACACATTAGTAGATTCAATTAAATTAACAGTTAAAAAAAACTAGAAATAATGAAACATTGAAAAGAGCAAAAAATTAAGGTTTTTTTTGAGGAAATGCAATGTATTAGTATACTACTGCTAAAAAACTAAAACGAAGTTAGCAATAAATTGAGCAACATGCTCAATCTATCATAATGAAAAAACCAGAAAAGTGCCAACAAACAAAAATAGTTCAAAAACGTGATACTGAATTATGCAAGTTAATATTCCAACTCTTCATAAAATCAGTAGGTTTATAATTATAACTGACAACACCGCCGTGAATTCTCTCATGAAACTCATTGATTGTGGGTTTTGAATTGTGTTAATGCAAACATCCCGCTAAATTTAGGACTGTGCACAAAATTATAAAATCCGCAAAAAAATTATAATTTGCCCAGAACTGTATTTGTCAACGAATGGAACTCTACGTTTGTGTCCTTAAATTAAATTACAAAATGAGATCAAATTCTTCATTCCTCCGTTCTGGAAATAATAAAGACTGCAGCAGTACAATAAAAATCAAAATAAGGTCTAAATTCAACTATAAGAAATTATTAAACCTGTAAAAAAATATTAAAGCCTTTCCGTTTTCATTTCCACGATGGAATTAATTTAACTGATGATCATTTTCAAAGTTCTTTCTGTCATATTGGATCGATGTTTATATGCCATTAATGAATTATTATAAATTTCGAGTGCGAAGTTATGAAGAGCGAATAATGTAATAATTTAAGCAAAAACATCCAGAACTTTGGGTACTTATATCATGACTAAAATAAGTTGATATTAAAAGAATTAATTTCTTGCCACTCGTTTTATGGTAACATTTCCATTATTGTAGCCAAATTGCATTAGAACCATGGAGAATAGTTAAAAATCTTAACATGGACTGTGAATTTACAAACAATAAAACAAAAATACCAGGTGTTGCCGAATTCCTAAAAGTTCCACAACATTCCAAATTAGAAAATCGCTAATTAATACACTAATTGCACTCCTGCAGGGGAGTGGAGAGTGGTGTCGAATGCGATTCAATGTTGAAACTTTTTTTTTTGCTCTTTGGTGAACATACAAACTATATTACGTGCCAATTTTAAGACGTGTTTACACTTAACCAAACAAGGAGTGACGCGCCAAAAACAGGAAGGCAGTGACCAGTGCTGTTTTGCAAAATTTTCGTAGAAATCATCCTTCTTAAGTAGTAGTAGTAAATCGTTACTCAAAATGTATCAATTTACTCCCTCCCAAAAAATTGATGACATCATCTCAAAAATTTGCACAATAAATTCTATCTAAAATATGAAAAATATTATGACTATACTTACGGTTATCAATATATTCTTAGTTTTTACGAATACAGAATAACTTAAAAAAATTCATGAATGAGACAATCTGTTTTATTGATCAAATCAAGAACGAACGACTCGTACTTTTTCCCGAGTACTGTTATTAGTAGAATGACATCATCACAAAATTTTGTTATAATACAACTCACTTGAAACATATGTATATCATGCTCCCTTTTTTACCGACGGAGTTATCATAAAACAATTTACAATGTGGTATCTTCTCAGTTGCATTGTAGAAAGTTCGAAATTGCCACTCACATAAGAAATAACTTATGGTGTGAACGATCTACAAAATTACCTGTTTTACGAAAGTGAGGGCAGCTTTTATTTTATAAAAGGAACCAAATTGAGTTTTAATAATGACTAAAAGAGATATTTGACATATTAAGGCCGTAAAGAACACAACGTTTTTGAAGTGCCCATATAGAAAAACATTTTTTAGGCAACCGTTACAAATCTAGTCGTTTTACGTCTACGGTCACGTCCATGAAGTGTCACTTTTTCGTGTTAAAATGTCAAAATTACTTTTTTTGGACTCACTTGTCACTTTTTTGTATTCAGATGTCGAAAACTTTTGTGTCCTTGGCTTTTGTTCAACATTTTTTTAAATGAAAAAGCCAAAAGCGCCGTTATTTCGACCCCACTTTTACTAAGTATCGTTATGAAATATGATGGTGCTAATTTTTTTTCTTAGTGGAAGAGCAATTTTGGTTTGTATCAGATCTCCAGGGCTTTTCCTCCAACAACGAAAAAGGGTTTTCTAACCGACTAGTTGTTCTTTTTTTTAATGTATTCACTTTATCTGGTAACAGAATTGCAAGCATTGTTACAAAACGATTTTAAATAAAATACTTTTTGTAAAAACTGTTGCCGGGTTAATATCTGTAAATTTGAAAACATTTTTTTTATTAAGTGTTTAACAATGATGTAAAAAAGATGTTATGATATTAAGTAATAGATCAAGTATAAATTGGGCATCGATTCAGCGGTAAACTATAGCCAGAAGTTTTTTTCCATACACTGTCCAAAATAAGTTGTCCTGATTTTGTAGTAAATTCTTTTTCTCCTTATTTTGTTCGCATTGTTCGTGACACTTTTTGTGAGTGTTTAATATACAAAAATGCGTTTTGTTTAGTAGGCGCAATATTTTTACAAGTTTTAAAAATATTTGAAACAACGAATTTTTTTCAAAAATTTTTTGATCTTTAATTTTCTGTAGTGTTCTAAAACGGAGGCAACTCCATTTTCCTTATGTCAAACTTTTTTTTTTACTTTTATTGAAATTTATTGAAACATTACTTTTGTATCCACTAAAATTTTATTGCATTGTAATTTGAGGACTGTAATAATTAACTACGTAAACATACCTTAAATGCTACTAAATAGATAGCAGGTAGAATCCCGTGCCAAGAACGTACATTTAAAATTTCAGTGTATATGTACTTACTGTATCGTGCATATTGTATTTTTAGTAAATTTATATTTTCTTATTTTGCAATTTTATAAATAATTCTTTGCTATTTCGATTCTATGGGCTTCACTTGTGTCAATTTCAACCCCTATAACAAAAACTAACCTGTCAAAAACTATTAATCACTCGTCACTAACTTTGCCATTATGTCGTTCAACCCCTTCAAAATCACACCGTAAAATTTTAGTAGTTCTGAATATATGTGCTTCGTTTGTTACATTGCGATTTTTCGTAATATAATAATAATAATAATGTTTATGAACGTCTATAAATATGTCACCAGGAATGCTAGCTCAGTTTCGCGTGATGACTAGATAATGTCCAGTAGTTGTTCAAAAAATAACTGTTAACTTGTCGGCTAAAATGTTTGAATTATTTAATATGACAATTTCATTTACAACATCTATAACATTAATTTTGTTTGCACATCTGCTTGAAATACGTTCTTTATTACCACATCTCATGAACTATAAAATTACCATTTACTTGTCTTTTAAAATAGTTACGAATTAAGTAAGTAAAATAATTGAAGCTTTAATTAACACGATATTTTTTTATTGCAGGCGGCTGCGCTACTTGCAACATCAGTTTCCGCCCAGATAACCATCGTCCAATAGCTTATGACTTCGAACATTACGTATCGTTCTTCCTGCAGGATAATCCAGACCCAACTTGCTCAAAAGCCGGCCACGCTGCCTACGGCCAAGGCGTGAACTACGTAACGAATAAGACAAATCAACTTTCCCGAGTGGGCGCCTCCTATTTCATGGCCTATCACACGATACTTAAAACGTCAAAAGACTACTACGAAAGCATGCGTTCCGCCAGAAAGATCGCTGCCAATATTACAACGACAATAAACACCAAAATCCCATCGAGTCAAATCGAGGTATTCCCCTACTCGGTGTTCTACGTATTCTACGAGCAATACTTGACCATGTGGCCAGATACTCTAAAAAGCATGGCGATAAGTTTGGCCGCCATCTTTGTTGTCACGTTCTTGTTGATGGGACTGGATGTATTTTCGTCTATCGTGGTAGTCGTAACCATTCTTATGATAATAGTGAATTTAGGCGGACTGATGTATTGGTGGCATATCACACTGAACGCAGTCTCATTAGTAAATCTAGTGATGGCAGTGGGAATAGCAGTAGAGTTCTGCTCACATCTAGTCCACAGTTTCTCTGTTTCTGTAAAGACGACGAGGTTAGAGCGAGCGGCCGATTCTTTGACGAGAATGGGAAGTTCGATTTTCTCGGGGATTACCTTGACGAAGTTCGGAGGAATCATCGTGCTGGGATTCGCCAAGTCGCAGATTTTCCAAGTGTTTTACTTTAGGATGTACTTGGGAATTGTCCTGTTTGGAGCTGCGCACGGGCTGATCTTCCTGCCGGTTCTTCTGAGCTATGTTGGTGAGTTTCGGCTTTTTGTGGGAGGTGTAATGGTAGTGCTTGTGTTTATTTATGGAACAGTTTTATTGGTACTTGGTTAAATCTCTGTAAAATTCGAGCATAATAAAAGCGTCGTCATGTTGTCAGTACATTGTTAATCAAAAGCGCATGTGCATGAGTGTAGGTTGATTTTGGCATGATAGGAGCATGTGGTGTGTCTGTTATTTAAGGTTACTTGTGAAATACTGTTCAACGATTAATATTATTAAAGCTCTTTTCAGTAAACACGTGTGGAGAATTGTGTTTGTGCTGAATTTTCATGATTCCTCTTTCATAATAATCCACTAACTTGGTAGAAAGGAGTGATCACAACGCCACCTCCACGTCTATGTAGTATGTTACTTGAGAAACTACGTGTGTTATCACAAATATTTGACGCTCCTTAGGTCAGTTTCAGATAAAATAAAATTTAATATACAGGTGTTCTGAGAATTGCGTATCAACTCTATAACAAGTTGTTTAGGACGTTTATGGAGCAGCGAAAAAATAAATAAAAACATTCTTTTGTCCAAATGTAGAAGATACTTCAAAGTTTAATTTTTCTTTTCAAAATTCCACCATATTTTAATTCACTATTTTGTATTGGGTACCTAAAATCGATCGGACTTTCATTATTCAAAATAATTTTGGAGGTATTTTGTCTTAATCCATTGTTTTCTTCACTTTATAATATAACAAGAAACTTAAAAATTGTTTAAGATAAATCTGACAACAGTGGCTAACTTTTCACATTTTTTTATTTGTCTAAATCGATATTTTGTTTTTGTAAGTACACGTCAAATTGACGTAAGGAATTTTTTTAATGATTTTCCTGGAACTTAGACTTGTAAACTTAATAATGAGTTAAACTCTCAATGAGTCGAAATCGAGCATACTTTTATGTCTCGGTAAATTACGAATATACAGTGGCGCGTAAAAAATCGGGCACCCGATTTTTTTTAAGCGTGATAACTATAAGAAATGTTAAAGAGATACACAAAGTATACATGTTAAAGAGATACACGGCTTAGTTGGCCCATGCCAACTGAATTAAAAGTTGTGAAGTTAACATTAAGTTGTAAATACATATGTACCTAACTATTCAAACATTCTGTTGTCATGTATTTAAAACCTTTGTTCTATGAAGGTGTCGGGTTAAAGCTTGTAAAGTTAAGTGCAAAAATAAGCAAAGCTTTGGTGGTGTTGACGCTGTGATTACTTTTCATGTAATGTTTCCATTTTAGACAAGAAATTCTTATTTTGGCGGCCCGTTCAACTTTTCCTTTTTCCTCGAATCCGGAAAAGTTGGGTGTGGCGTGGTTTGCATTTTTGGTGTACAAAGAATCGGTTTGTTGTGATTAATAAAATAAAGCATGTGGTGTGTTTTAATGCAGGAACCCCGATGAATAAAGAAAAATTGGCGAAACACAGGAATTTAAACGGCGACCATTTCCAGGAAACGGAATTCGGCAGAGTAAGAATTTCATGTCACTTTTAATTGTAGTTTTCCTTTCAATTTCATTTAATCATTGCTTTAACCGCTTCTTATTAAGTGCATTTTGTTTTAAACTTTTTGAGAATTATTTCCTTTGATTGCGCCTTTGCGTTTCCACTTTGTTGCATTTGTGCGTTTTTAACAGGCGTGATGCAAACCAAACGTCGATACCATCACACACCACCAGAAGAAGTGGGACCAACGATTGTGTCACCTCTGCTGCCATCCACTTCAAGTGCCCATTACGATGCTATAACATCTGTTGACACGTGATTATCACGGTTATGTTTATATGTGTATGTTAGGACAATTCAACAAAGTTTAGGACGTTTGTTAGATATTGTATAGATTTGAAGAATTTCGAATAGGTGGTGTGTACATATTCTCAAAACGTTGGAGGTAATTTAAGTTGATAGTCAATTATCTGGACTTTTGCGTCCGTGTAGAGTTTCGTGATTAATGTAAATGTCTTTAGTTGTGATTACGAATCGACCAAAGTATTATCAGATTCTTCTTATGTAAGACTGCTCTATTGCAAACTTTTGTACTAACCCTCTGACTATTCGGTACGTAAGATAAAATTACAACTCTTAGTTGTAATTTTGTACTTATATAAGGAAATTTACTTAAAGTAACGGTTTTTTTTGTTATGTTTCTTCTTTATTTATTTTTGTATGTAGCTTTTTATGTTTGTACAAGTTGCGTGCTAGGCTAAGCTATATCTATTTAGAAAATGCTCATTTTGTTTAAAAAAAAAACAGGGTCTTTATTATAAATTGGCATTCTATTTCAAGTCGCTATCTTTGGTTACTTGTGCTAACATTCCACAATATTGTAGACATTTGTATCTTTCTGTGTTAATATAATATGAACATCATATTTTATTAGAAATAAATGTATTTTGCAAAAACAGTGTTTTACTTTATGAATTTTATTTAACTGCAACGAGTATTAGAAAAATCACTTTTCCTCTTTAGTTTTTTTACTTCTCGAGCGTAAGGTAAGGAAGTATCCTAGTAGGCTACTTTCACGTTTTTTCGATATTTCATGAGTATGGAAATACACGTGTCTCGTTTCCATCTGACTTGAATTGTATTAAACCGATAATCTTGGAAGTGTTAAAACGCTAAGCAAAATTTGTCCCACCATCTAATGTGTCAACGTCACCTCAATTTTTTTCCTAAAACACTAGTAGTTTATGAATCCGTCTGGATTTAGTACCCCAGACATTCAGAATTTTGTAAAAAAAATCAAATTTGTATAATAAAAATTTTTCTGCCCCTCTATTTGTTAAAACAGACAGCACCTATTAAAGTACCCGTCAAGATATACCGAATGCTACCTACCACTCGTTGAAGTGATTAGGATGGTTGTAATTTTTATTACTCTCCACTTGTGGGCCCGTCCGGAACAGGGATGTAACAGAAAATTTTCTAAGCAAGTTTATAAATGCTCCTACCGGTGATACATCTTGCGTTCAAAACATTGTTTGGACACAGCTGATCTCTTATTTAAGTACTACCAGTGATTATATATTTAACATCTATACTCACTGGTACTACCCTGTACTAACTGAATGGCATGCGGCATTCGCCCCAAATTTATGGCATCTATAAGCTGTGGCATTGATTAAATACATATGTATTTAATCAATGGCTGTGGTTAGGGGCAGTGTTGGGGACAGATACTTTTTGAAGCTTTGGCGAATAAAATATAAATAACTGAAAACATGTTTATGTATTGTTTAATGGTTTAATGATTTTTTTAAAATTAACATTTCGAACGTATCGTCACCTAAATTATTTCTTCTTGGTGTCAGAATTTGGTTTCCGCTATTAAACACCCGTTCCACAGGTGCAGAAGAAGGGATTGTGGTATTAAATTTAAAAAATAAACATTTTACTGTAGCATAGTTATTCAAGACTGAAAAATCTTTTCTTTTTTCCTGCAAATAGGCCATCGCTTCGCTGTTTGATGTGTCGCAAATTGTGCAATATTTATTACGTACGCTTAAAAAGAATTTTTTTTTTTGTTTTTATTCCCATACTACAGTGTCCAAATTGTGTTTGAGTATCTCTAATAATTATCTCCAGCATTAAAATTAATATTTCAAAAGAATACGGGAAATGATTATTCTGTGTTGAAGGTCTGTTGTCGGCAACCTGTCATAAATTATTATTCTTCAGTATCGGCTTACGATGTTTTTAGTTTTTATGCCCATATCCGGTAATCGTCTATTCCGCTGCGGCAGGCAAAATTTTAGGAAGAATTGCTGGTTCCGTTTAAGGCAAAATAAGTAAAATTTCTTAGAAAGGTATTTAAACCCCTTATAGGATCAAAGGCTGCCTGGCAGGCCGGAATCACCAGAGTGCAACTTTAAATTTTCAGATTTTTGTTGAAACTCATTTTATTTTAATCTCGTTTCACGATTTCTGAGAATATATCACGATTATATATACTCTACCTAGGGTTGTAAAAATATTAATTTTATTCCCCAAGATTTACACTTAAACATAATCGGCACATTCTAGGGCAAAACGGACCTGCCAAGCCCGCCTTGCGTTAGGTCCAACAATGAAAAAGTGAAAAAATGACACAGGTGGCAACAGGAAAAAATGCTACATTTGTCTGAAAAATAAAGGTATAAAATACTAACAAATATGCGATTTATGCGAGAGAAATGTATGTATTGAACATTCGATTAGTCGATTACAGAACTAATTTGTGCTAATTGAACAAATTAATCATTATATAACACGCAATTATTATTTTCTAAAAATAATAACCTTAAACAAATATTTTTACCATTAAAATTACTCTTATTTAATAACACAAATACAACCAGGGGGCCTACCTGACCCGGGTTGCTCAGGTACACAGATAAAATGCATTGCCCCGATAAGTGTAAAACGCAGTGAATAGTGAATTGTGGTTTATGGTTTTTAAAATACCATTTTACCATGGCTTAGATTTATTACCCCTCAGGATTATATTTAAAGATGTATAAGTACTGAAGGCTACAATGTAGGAAATTATGGTATTTAAAATATGAAAATTTCCGTGACAGAACACTATTAGTGGATCTCTTACCTCTATTTTAGTTTATGTGACCAAAATCACCAACATGAAGTATCAAAAATTACTACTAGTATAACTCAACTAATAACTGCTGAAAAAAAAGTTAAATAAAAAAATGTATCTGTATCTGCACCATTAATTTTGTATCTAGATACAGATATTTTGTGCTTAAATTCGATTTTATCTAGATACAGATACTAGACACCCAAAAATGTATCTAGATACTTTATTTAGATACAAGTATCTAGATACTGCCCAACACTGGTTAGGGGTTTATTGAGCGCTTGAGGCGTTAAACTTATTGTGACGGCTACTTTACAATCTTAATAACAATGCCGTAATGCCGTAATAGTATATTGTGATATTATTTTATAATGCAAGGGATTAAGTATGGCATGAATGAAAATTTAGCGGATGAATTTGAACCATAAATTTTGCAATTTAAATCATCAGGCAGACGTAAGTCTTCATTATGTTCATTATCTACACCAATAATTGTAGATCTTCTGATTCCAAATTGATTATGTGTAACGTGATTTATCGGACCTGCAGTGTTATTTAATGCTGAAGCTTTTAGGACGCCAGATCGCAAAATTTGTGGTAGACCCTATTCGGCAGCTCGAGCATCAGTTGCGTCATTCGTACCTCCTTTTAGACGGATATGTGAAAATATGGTTTCCATAGCGTTGGAACTAAATCTCTGAGTTAAGACCGAGGTTAAGACATAGGAAAACCCTTTAAGAGGAACTCTACACACAAAAATGTACTTTTTGCAGTAAATTTCAGTGCCTGTGCAGTTTCGTTGCTTAACCCTTTGAACCCATTGCAGGCCGAAATCAACTGAAAGTCGTCAATATAATTTTGAAGTGTTGCATTCAGCCTATACAGACGTTCATTTGAAATGTTGACATACGGTGCAACACTGCTCTCCAAGGCGTGGATGTAGTGACTTTTAGAAGTTTATTGCACTTTTATTACAACATGGAATGAATCGATGGCACCCCTTTTCGTACCGTCAAGGCTTACTTTCCTAGAACCCAATTTTATGCGGAGTGCGACGGCCATATAACGCTTCAAGCGTTATCTACCTAGTCGGCCGTGGTCAAAACAGAATTTAAATGTCTCGTTAAAAAAAATGTTTTTCGTATCAACATCACGGATTTTAAAGTAATAAGCGAGAAGGTACCACGTTTAGAGCTGTCACAGAACTGAAGGTGGCTCCGAATACGTGTATTTTGCAGGGGCGGCTGGTGCCGGGGGGCACAAGAGCACGTGCCCCCCCAAAATTACAACGTTTACAAACACACTGGACATGATAAAATAATAATTTTCAATATTTAAAAAATTATCCGGAAATATGTGTCATAAATTCATAATTGTCAAAATTAATTTTTTTATCTCGCTCCACTTGTATTAGAATGTATCAAAACTTAGATCCATTTACATCTAAAGATGTGTGTCTTGGAAATATGACATATGTATATGATATATGATTGCTGATAAAACCTGGGCACAGAGACCGAATCATGGCTGATTTAGATGTTTTGTTTACACCGTTGCCATGGTAACCACACGTCGTAGCCGTCTGATAGAACTGGACTGGGGTCCCGTTTCGACCGTGCTCGGCAGGAGTGAGTTACTGTTGTGGGTTTTAATTTTCATTCGGCGCGAACACGTATGATAAAGATTCTTGGATAATCTTCTCGGTAATACAGACATTCGGAAACAACTACACACCGCTTATATTAATAATGTTCGGGTACATAACGCAAGGGTCGACAAAAATCCCCATATATTATGCCGATTGATAATGTGCATAAAATTTTGTGGAGTGTTTGAACACAGTAGATGTTTGAATTTGCTTTACGTGGACATGACGAAAGTAGGGAATCACAAAATCCAGGTATATTTCGAGGGCTGATTGATTTTACGGCTGAATTTGACTCTGCTTTATCAAATCATTTGCAAGAAGCAACGGTTTTTAAAGGAACGCCTAAAACTGTTCAAAATGAACTTTTAGATCCCATGAACGTAAAATTTTAACCGAAGGCAAAAAAGTATATGGAGAAAACTTTTTTGGGATGTATTTTTGTATTTATTTCCGTCACACAATTTCGTCTATTAATTGGTAATAACAACCTGTTCTATATCTTATAGTTAACTCATCAATCAAATTGTGTCCCCATTTCAAAAAGTCACGAGCCGCCACTGGTATTTTGGCTATAAGGAGAAACACGCCAGAAAAAGTTAAATATGTAAATAGTTAATTTTAAAAATAAAAAGTTATTGCTCAACTCCCTATTTTGTCTTTTTTTTGTTTTTTTTTTCGTCTTTAATTGGCCTATTTTAGGGGCTTTTTTTATTTTTTGCATTCAAACTCCGATGACGTAATAGTTTATAAATCACGTGCGCTACCTGAACAAAGGTGACGTTTTTCGGTCCTTTGTGGTCAGTTTTCATTTCAATCTGATAGCGACAACTTCGGCGTGTCATTTTGGCGTAAAAGGAATGCGTTTTCGCGAATTTCTAATTTATCTAATATATAAAAATAAGTCGGGATTTCCTTCCTGACGCTATAACTCCAGAACGCACGAACCGATTTCCACGGTTTTGCATTCGTTGGAAAGGTCTCGGGCTCCGTGAGGTTTATAGCAAAGAAAATTTTGGAAAAATTTCAAGAGAAAAGCAGGAAAACAGGGAAAATCATTTTTCATATACAGCCACGTACTACAACGGCGCCAGTACGTGGTGTGTGAGTATCCCTCACGAAAATAAGTACGTTTTTAAATAGAAGGCGCCGGTGCGTGATACATTGTTTGACAGCTACTCATT